TTGGTTTTGGACAGTTTTTACTCGCCATACGGTATGATGTTATATGTCTGTACCAAACAGAGACGGAGAAAATACGCACGCAAAATGTTGAAATGCGATATGACGCTAGGTGCAAAGTTCACAATCAGGAATTTACCGCACTTTACATGATCCCGGGTCAAGCCAAACCGGCTTTACATGAAGAAATGAGTAAACTTTTCACGCGTTCACACCTCGCCAACCCGGGTCGACCCGGGTCTCGAGAAGGGTGCCCCGGGTTGGCGAGGTGTGAACGGTTGACCCGGCTATCGTGTAAACGCTAATAGAGATTTATTCGTAGACGGGTTGACCCGGGCTGGCAAGCTAACCCGGGTTGATAGTCAACCCGGGCTCGTGTAAAGGGGGCCTTAATACCTATAGGATAGGGAGATCTCTCCCACACTCCGGGGGTTAGGACCTCTGTTTCCGGAAATCCATTAGTGGAGCAAATTCGTTTAAATGTAGGTCTGTCCCGCTTACCGGGTAGATCCTGCAGGTGTTGTTGTGTGTGTTACGTTCTATTTTTATTCCATCTGCATTCAGCTTTTTCTTTATTGCATCAAAGGTCTAGTAGCCGTCTTCAAAGGTAATCTTCTTTTGTCCATACGCAATATTATCGTTGACATTCAAACGTACGTTCTTATAAGTCCAGTAGATGGTTGCGTTCTTTAGGATTAATTCGGACCCTGCGTTCGTTATAATACACTTGTCCGGAAAAAACTCGGTAGTTCCGTTTTTGATAAACACCGCTAACTTCTTCATTTTTATTATATGTATTAAATAAAATGAGTACCGGTGAAGACATCCTTCGTAACTATTACGGACAGAACTACGAAAAAGTAAAGGCGGCAGCACCCATTGAAAGGCGGAAGATGAAGGAGGATTTTAGGAAAAAATATCCGGGTGCAAAATTGTCTAAATTTGACTTTGAGGTTACATTTGCAAAGGACGGAACTTTAGAATCCAAGGACATATTCTTCAAGATCACGGATACGGAAAGTTACGACATCAAATCCGACACATTCAGGGGAAATAAAAAGTGGACGTGGTACCTTTACCAATGGGAGAGAATATGGGGTAATTACGGAACCGTTCAAACCTTTAGACATAACAGGGATCCACTTCCGTACAGAATAAATAAGTTCGAAATTTACGTTTGCGACTGCATTAACACCTCCCTCAACAGCTTTGTTTCCAATTTCGCCGATCTCAACGCGAAGTGGACCGGTACCGCAAAGGATATCACCAGGGTAAAATTCGATTATATAAACGATCCCTATTTTGCATCGATACTGGCTGCTTACATTATCACGTATAAGTGTGGGATAAGTACGGAACATCTGCTGTAAGGCAAAGGAACCTCAGGGGTAATCATAAGTATTGCTAGGTATCACCTATACTACCACATGCGCAGGTTCCTCAGAAATCCGAGCAAAATGACAAAATACGTAACGAAGAATATGCTAAAATCCCTGCAGAGAAACATGCCCACACAGAAAACGTGGGTTAACAAATTTCATCGAGGACAGACAGAAATAGGTCTCTGGCATAGCAGACTTCCGGATAAGAGTAGGGTTAGAAATTACAAATATTCATACTACCATACCGGTGGTGTAATGGGAATTAGCTATCAGGAAGTAGACAAAGTCGTTAACAACAGCGATACGGACTACACCCAATTCATAACAAAGAAATCAAACGGGTTGACACCTTTTCGATTAAAGTTACTTCAACAATCTGTCGAAAGTTATGTCTATTGCGTATTAGGTGCGCAAGCACAAACACGTTCGTCTATCGTTGGTAAGGGGGCGAAGTCCCTGCAAACTCAGGACGTGTTTCACAAACTTTTCAAAGACACCATTGCGCAAGACGATGTATCTGTATCCATCTCCAATATGAGGAAAGCGATAAAGGACACTAACGTTGTACTTAACATTGCAATATCACCCGGATTAATATTAATACCATCCAATATGATTATACTTAAGGAAAAAATAGCAGGGTACAACAATACACTGACACTTGCGACAAAGGACATGAAGTTTGGTAGTAACACGGACGTTAACTACTCAAAGCCCAAGGAAATAAAGAAGAGTCCGGTGGTAAATCCGAACCCTTTACCACGCAAAGACCAGAACCCCATACCACATCCTAACACGGCAAGCGTACCGAAAGCATCAAACAATCTGATTTACCTTCTCGGCACTATGTTCATTGGTGGGGTTATCACTTCGAGATGGATTTTCTTTTCGTATTAATAAAAGAATGAATAGCGACAGCAACAAAGTTAAGGGAAAGCTGAAAAAGGACAAAACCGTCAACGTAGATATAAAATTCAATAGGGGTGGGCTGAATCTCGGTTACGTTAAATCCAAAACAACCCACATCAAGTACGTTACGTCGTGTAAAGAAGGCAAAGCGGGACCGTCGGCAAAGACCGCAAAGGAAGAAAAACCGAAGTCAACGGAAAAAAAAGGAAGAATAAATAAAATGGGGTGTTTACCCACAAAACCTAAAACCACGAACGAAGTGAAGTACGACAAAAACCACCGGAATAGAAAGATGTTCAGTTTCGGAATCGGTATAGAACGCGGTGATCTCACTATCAACGCTCACACCCAAATTGGATACGTCAGCACAACGGTAAAAAAATACGTTAAAATAAATGACGAAAATTCAAATACTGCGGAGACTAACGTCACAGAGTATACAGAGGCGGAACTCGCGGCGATTCCTTTGTTCTTTGTGTCCCCGTGCAACGTCATTTCCACGCGCCACGCAAGTTGCTCTGGCAAGTGTCATTCGTCGTGTTTTCAGTCAAAAGCATAGGAAAAACACCGTTCGAAAGTAGAAAAATAAGTATTTTTGTGAAGTTGCTCCACCGAACTTCATTTTGGGATTCAAATTTGAAATATAAATGGTAAGTGGTTATTTTTATGTAAAAAGATATACGTTTATAGGCTAAATACAAAGAAAAAAATAGTATAATACAATTTACAATCTCGGTGCTTGTGATGTTCTTGCCAAGAAGCAGATTCCCATTTCGCTAAATTAATGCGGGCCAAACGTATTGTTTTCCTGTCTTTTACATTAATAAGAAAGCATAGGTGGTTATTTGAAACACGTCCATCAGGTTCCATGCACGTAGCTGTGGGATTTGTGAGCAAAAATTAAAAGTTAAACTACCTATGTTTTTAATACTTTCTGTGCAACTAATAACCACATTCACAAATGTATTCTCCAGCAAAGAAACGTTCCTTTACGGATTGTTAATCCGCATTTGAAGGCATGCTTATGCCTTCAAAGGTCAGAGGTCTTGCACATGCAGAATAGCAGACACTACTGTTATTGACATCCTTTGTCACAAAATTATGATGTGGCATATTGCCTTATTGGACAGCTATGTTGGATAAGGCACTTCCTTAATAAATAGCTTGACACATAAGTTCATGCAGACTAAGTTTTGTTCAATTTCATTTGTTTTGTAGTCGGTATCTTCAACTGCTTGGATTAGTGGTGGGCTTGTCTGATCATTTCCTGCAGATAAATCAGATTGGCTAGGGTGAAATGCAATCAAATAGGCATCAGAATCTTCAGCACAGCTGCCAATTGAAAGTGGTGTCAAAATATTATCTACAAATAATATGCAAAATGCTCTGGTGAACTGGATGGGACTAATGGGTAGTCACAATCCCCTGCTGCCTAATGAGGCCAAAGAAGTTCTCCAGAGGATCTTGGTTGAGACATCTTGTCATGTACCCTGGCCCAGAGGTTTTTTTAGATTTGGCGAACGCAAAATGCGAGAAAACGCGCGAAGAAAAAGGAAAAACCTCTGGTGAATTTGTTAGCGATTCCTGGTTCGGATAAAGAATGCAAAAATGTATAATGGCTTAATGCATCATATTCTAAAAATATTATCCAATCATTATCCTTGACGCCAAGCCGTCTAGACAGGGTTTTATCGCATGTTTACTGTCTAGTGTATGCCTGCCCATTTGTAGCAATATTCATTCTCCTGAATTTCATTCAATTTAAAACATCACATCTATTCAATTTAATATAAATATATATTTATATTCATTCACTTTAATCTTGCAATATACATTCAAAAAAATCTGTATTTTATAAATTTATTAAACACACATCTTTGGGCCGACGTGAACTTTGTCTGTTAATACAAAAGCAAGCAAATTTGTCTTGTAGATTTCAAATGAAACCATTCCTCTCCATTTCGCATTTCGAATAATAGACTCGGGATTACAAAATGCGAATGTAAACTCTCCATCCAGTATTGCTTTCTCGTCCTCTTCGTTTGACAGTGAAGTAACACGACATCCACGCTTTCTTAGTTCACGGACGTGAGAGTCAATGAAAGAGTTCAATTTGCAAATGGCTATTAAGATGGGTTTCTCCAGAAAATTGTGGCTTTTGCCAAGTCGTCGTGCTACTCTCGGTGTTAGAACTTTGGAATATTAAACTCTTCGAATAACCGATAGCAAGATGCAAATACATCTTTAATGTGAATCAAATTGGACAAGGCGCGGTATTGATGCTCCGTTTAGCTCCGTTAAACTTTTAATTCAGGAAATTTATCAATCTATCTATTAATGCAGCCTATAAAACTGCTTCTTTCAACTTTTGTTCGTTTATTTAATAATATAGACATTTCAAAATTCAAATGTTTCAATTCAATCAAAACACGAAACGCCTGCGAACAGGCTATGATGTTTACAATATCCAATCAGAACACGTAGTCTATCGAACCTATAGTCAGCAGCCAATCAACTCTTTGCTTCCATTTTTGAAAGTTATGTGTGGAATGTGAACCCAAAAACTACGCCAATTTTACCAGAGGGTTATTCAAAACAGGCGAAAATAAATACCCTCTTGTTCCAGGGTACTTGTCATGAGAAACTCCAAGGAATGATGTTGGTTAAGGTCTTGAAATATAAATACTACAGTGTAATTACTACTGACAGTGTAAATATTACTGTCGTTCCAATTGAAGTGTTGCTCAAATGTTGATTCAATACATTACCTCGGGCTGACCAATTCATTTGATCAAGTTCCTCGAAATATTCATACACTTCCTGTGAAAGAGCCAATTCCAAGTATTTGATCATTTCTGGTCACTTCCTTTCTATTTATGATTGGTTAGTTGCACAAACAACAAAGGTGATTGGTGCATTTAAACTATTCAACAGGAAGTTTACAATTATACTAGGAAGTGTATGAATATCTCGAGGAACTTGATGAAATGAATTGGTCAGCCAGAGGTAATGTATTGAATCAATATTTTAGCAACACTTCAATTGGAACGACAGTAATACTACTGATAGTGTAAATACTACAGTGAAAGTAAATACAACTGTGTAATTGGGGTTTAAAAATACAAAGTTTATTTTAATAAATGTTGTTTATTTTATTTCACATTTATATACATTTAGGAATTTAAATTATTCAAAAACTAAATAAATTAAATATGTGTTCAATGTCAATGAATATTGCTATATTCTAAATATTGCTATAGTTGAACCCCCATACTGTCATGAAAATTAGTACTAAATAAAAAAAGTAGCTAATAATCCATGTTTCCTCTTACAGTCTTTGCTTTATATGAAAAGTTAAATACTATAAATAATTGCATTGTTCCTTTTATTGATAAAGAGTTTCCCATTAAAAGAGAAAGTATTCCCAATTAATACTTTGCCTGTTAAAGTGTGCTCACCCCTTGACGAGTAAAATCGTCTGGTGTTAGACAGAGTAAAATAATAAAGTAGGGGGCATCAGGGCACAATGCAACTCAATGGGTTAACTGGATCGTCTGGTGTTAGACAGAATAATAAAGTTGGGTTAACAAGTAAAATTGTCTAGCTTTACAGTACATCTTCCAAGGGGGGGCTGGATTTGGGGAGCAGGCCTACCACTTTTAGTTGCATTGGGGGGGGGGGCTGCTTTTTTGAACCTCAATTAAACTATTACAGTAATCTGAAGGCCTGTTTATATGGTCTCCGGGTACTAGGGAAATCCTACCCCCGAGCCACCCTGGCAAGGCAAAATTATATTCATATCCTATTATAGCAACTGCCATGCAAGTGTTTGCATGGAAAGTTTTGAACTTGTCTTGCCTAGTGGGATGATCCAGGTAGTAAGGTCACTCCGTCAGGGGGTACAGCATCTCTATTACTCAAGATTAATTATATAAACATTGCCTGAGGCTATGTAAAATTGGTAGGCATTCCAATATAAGATCAAATAGTCTCAGGTTTTCCCCAATCAGGTGAACAAATTAACATAGTTGTAAGAATCTGCATCTGATTCATTGTAATGAACACTGTAGTTCAACAGGAATGATTGGCAATCTAGAAAAGCAAAATAAAAAATAAAGTAAATAAACAGATTAAATTATTAAGCATGTACAGACTTGGCATGTTTGAGAAATTATTGACCTTTGAGAGCCCATTAAAAATGGTTGTCATTGCACAATAACCAATGCACTAATCTTGGGGAATCACTATAAAGTATAATTTGACCAATCCCCCACCATTGGGTCAACATATAAGTTAAATAAAGTCTATATGAGTACTTTAGAGTACTGTGGCTCCATGTCCAAGTCCATTTACTCAGTAAGTCCATGTTGAATGTTGATGTTCATATTTTTCGTACCTGAATGCTGTTTATGCAATGTTTAAATTAACGACAACCCTTTCATACAACATTGCACTTCACAAAAATATATTGATAATTTCATATATATGAGCTAGAGAAAAAAAACTCACATATAAAGTTGCCAAGTTCCAGCTGGAGTTCAGGTCTACAGAATCGAATCTTCAGATTGCCAGAAATTCTCACTCCTTCGGGTGTCTTTTCTCATTTTCGCCGTTAAAAATGGTATTCGTTCAATTTCCTTTCGCTAAGAAGACGCAGTGTGCCATTTATTTGCAAAATGCGTGCACAAAATAAAGATTGATCGGTTACTGCGCTTCAAATCGCCGTTTTATTGCCAAAATTTTGCATTTTCCTATCTATTTCCTGATAAAAAATGTGCATGACACTTGCCAGAGGGTCGCGCATGCGCATTAAAAAAGTGGGGACATGATTTGTCTCGAGTTCCGCCTCTGTATATCCTTACTCTGTGCTAACTTGGATGAGTCTGGTGTTCTGCCAACTCATCCCGATAACAATTGAAATTCTTTTCATCATCATCGCCTTAAAATTACTATTTCAATTTTAATGCTTGGTAAGAAGCGTTAAAATTATTCAATGTATTCCCAATCCAGCATCCGGAATACTTTTTTACACCGATCGTGTGAGACTCTGCTTACTGGAATTTTGAGCAATTTCTTATTGATTGTTATGCCAAGTTTTTTACATATCTGATAAGTCAGAATACTAAGGTTGGGAAGCGACTTCACCTTTGGTTCTTCCGCGTCGTGTACCTTTTTTATGTTTTCCATGATTTTATTCCTATCCCCTACCGATAACATGGAGTGTGTTATTCCCATGCTTTTACAGAAACCTTTGTATCTAAATTCAATGACGGACATCCCTGCGGTTGTCTTGTCCTGATGACCGCACTCGGTGTATTCCCAACCCAACGTCCGGAATACTTCTCTACATCGATCGTGTGGGGCTCTGCTAACTGGAATTTTGAGCAGCTTCTCGTCCATCTTTATGTTAAGCCTTTTACATATCTGATATGTCAGGATGTTGAGGTTAGGAAGCAATTTCATTTTCTGTTCCTCTACCTCACAGACTTTATGAATGTTTTCATCTATCAAACACCTATCATGCGTTGATAGATCAGAATGTGTTATTTTCCTTCTGGTATAAAATGATTTTAACCTATCACTGATGCTCATTTTCTTGTGTCTCATTTTCTTGCGACTCATGATTGCGTTGTCCAAACAATTTAAGTCCGGGACAGGGGGTGTGGGTCCCGTAATTATTCCACATTTGTGGCACGTCCTTTTCCCGTTTATATCATAAGCTGGTGTTCACCCCCAAATTCACAGATTTCCATCCTTTTTCTGTCTTCACAGTCAACCACCTCCTTTCTCAGACGCTCCCTTTTCTCGTAATCCGTTTCCATATAGTCCTGATGACTTTCCAACCGTTTAAAAGTCTCTATGATCAACTCCCGCTTCTTGCTCTTGTATTCCTTCTCAACGATTTTTCTGATACTTTCCAAAAACTCACTTTTTCTATCCGGTACAGAACACTGTGCCATTCCAAACACTTCAGATAGGGAAAGACCCCAATCCCTCTCCCTTAGGGATAGATCGCTTAGGTCCGGTTGTACCCCTTTTTGCCTCTTCAAACGCATTGGACATCTGTCCGAGAGAACTTATCTCTTCCAGTCGTAAAATGGAACAACTCATACCTTTTATTATATAAAAATATTTCTTTCAATAGATGACCTTGAAATTATTTAAGGTTATACTGGAACTAGCTCAAGCAACATTTGACTAGAATTTGACTAGATGCTAAACTTGGTTAAAGTTATGCTAAAACCTAGTTAAGGTTATGCTACAACTAGCTTTAACTAGAATTTGACTAGATTTGACTAGATGCTAAACTTGGTTAAAGTTATGCTAAAACCTAGTTAAGGTTATGCTACAACTAGCTTTAACTAGAATTTGACTAGATTTGACTAGAATTTCACTAGATTTGACTAGAAATTCAAAAAAAAAAGTAAGTATATTAAAATAAAGGATGGACGGACCGACAATAACAAAAGCAGAAAAGACCCAAAAACCAAAGGATCCGAGAAGGGTAAAATCAGGTAAAAGACTAGCAGCAATATCTAGGGAAGCAAAAGCAAGGAAGGCCGAAGAAAGGCGTACATTGAAAATAATTCCGATCAAGGTGATTCGGTAAATACGCTGATTTACGCCGGAGTCGTAGCAGTAGCAGCTGCACTAGGGGGAATCTACTACGTATACTGTAGGGTCAAGCCTACGGACAAGCCTAATCACACAGCAGAACCACAAGTACAGGACGAGCCGAAACCGAAGTTCGAAGAATTTAACAATTAGTTAATATACTATAATAAAAGGAATGGAAAAGAGAAGTCAAGAACTCACTCCCGGTTTTAAAAGGGCACTGACCTCCAACATTGTAGGTAACAGGGTATGTAACTTCGTTACATTCAACCCAAACGAATCCAACCCCGGAAACGACATCCGGATTGTGGTTCCAAAACTGGAACCGAACACCTGTATGGTTCCGAACTCATTTCGCCTGTCATACGAGTTCAAGAACGAAAACACCAAATCCTGGTTCATGAATAACCTCGGTAAACTTCTGTGCGAGCGACTCCTAAGGGTAGGGGGTGAAATAGTATACGACAATAACGGAAAGTCTCATCGAAGTCTACAAAGATCTCTGGAAGATGAGTACGAAAAGAGCAAACATGATAGAATACGGAATTATGAAAGAAAACACAAGAAAGCTATTGTCGAAGGACGACAGTGCCGATCAGACCGTAAAAACGGAAGGTGACTACGACCTGGTGATGGCGAAGGTATACAAAGAACAGAAAATGAAACTCGGAAAAATTCTTAATGATTACGATCCCTACGCACCGTACAACATGAAGAGCGGATTCGAGTACACGATAACCCTTCCAAAAGCCGACAAGATTATGGTTGCACAGGCAAACGAGAAGGTGGAAGGATATACACTAAAGAACATACACCTGGAATACGAAACCATAGAGAACGAAGAACTGGCCAAACGAGTAAACGAAGGATATGAGACCGGCAGGTCCTTGTCCTACGAACACACAACATTGCTGAAGACAACCGTCTGGTCGAAGGATGCTACAAGGTTCAACGAAACCATAGACGTTCCGAGGGTAAGTGTGAAGGCCATTGTTCTACTCTTCAGGAAAAGGACAATAACCGACAGCGAGGAATACGTCTTCCCAAGCATCGAAAAGGTAAAGGTTACGATAGAGGGAAAACCGAATGTTGTATATAGTCAGGGTCTAACATACGAAAACTTTTACGATGAGGCGAAAAGACTGTTCGGAATGGCTAACAACGCCTGCAACGACAACATAAGCGTTAGAAACACTGGTGATCGATCTGAGAGCTGTTGATGACAGTCATATTGTCGGAAGTGGAAAAAAGCTCCTCGGTGACAATCCCGGAATCCTTCTGGAGATCGAAACCGACGCGATGTCCGAAGACATCCTCTGTAACATCTTTGTGCTATCCGATGGACTTATAAACATCAGCGAAAAGACCCTTCAGGGTATTAGTTATTAAATAAAGGATGGAACCACTGAAAACACCATTCAACATGATCATTCTCGGAATGACCGGATGCGGAAAAACCTACAACCTACTGGAAATGTTGGAGAACGACCATAAAAACCACATTCGGAGTCACTTATCAATCATGCAGTTCAGACATGGCTTCACGAGCTCTGTTATTTTTCCTTTTTTACTGCTTTCTCCGTCGTATTTTGGGAATGAAAAATGTACAGTGGACAACACAAGTATACAATGCATCTACGCTGAGACTCTGGGCAGCAACCATTCGAATTGTAATGAGAATTACACGATCATTTTTGCCTCTCCTTGGCGGTACTTGTTGCTCAAGGATAATCCATCGCCTATATTTTTCCTGAGACCCACTGTTTGGAGGGAAGTCACTACACTACAAAGGATCAAGGACACGTATAGAATCGCAAAACTTTCTGTAAATCTCAGTTTCGAGCGGGGTTCTTCCGAAGCTATTTCGAACAAATCTCAAACGTTTTCAATATGGATTGCGAAAGACGTGCGGCCAAGTTTAAACATTTGCATACACACCAACGATTATACCGGGTGGCCCAAAAAAAGTACTCCTGTTTGATTCGTAATAACATCTAAACAAGTATAGCTTTTAATAAGAAATAACTTGCATCAAATAGAGGAAGGACTAACTTAGACTTTGATATATTACAGTTGTATTTCGCTTAAAAATTCACGGAGATATTAATCTTTAAATTCGGGAGGATATTTCTGGATGTGTCTGAAATATGCAAAAATCGGCGTATCAAATATTAATCAAGATTTGCCCGACTGAAACATGCACTATTACCAGTAAATAAATGACACTTGACAAATTGTTTATTATGAAACAAAGTATTATTAGGCTATATCTACAAAATACAAGCAAGATTCATTCGTCCGAAATTCGCGTGTGTTCCTAGCACGAATACGTTTCCTTATTTCATGAGACCACTGCATCGCGAAGGATCGTCATTGGATCGTTCGTAGTTCTGAAGTAGGGCATGCTGTCACAACGGAATTGTGAAGCTCTTCTAACTTCTGCAACGTTCTGAAATCTTGTTAAGAACACCCAAACTCTTTTGCCGTTTCTTAATCTTGGCAAGTTCATGGAGTAAACTGAGAATTATATGAAACACAATCAAACCATACAACTCCATAAGACATAACAATTAAGCAACTCCCCAGAGACATGCAACATTTTTGGAACAAAACGTAACAAAATAGTAGCGTTGATACGGTGATGTGTATTTGCAAAAAGCAATACGGTATTATTTCCTTCAATAAAGAATATTCATCCTGCTCTAACCGAGAAATAATCTACTCAGTCTGTTTGAACCCATTAAAAACATAAAAAAATTAGGCTATTTAAGAATACGAAAAATTTAAGCGCCTGCCTTCCATGGTCAGTCTTTCATGTACATTTAAGTTTGCAAAGACCTAATATTAAATACTTGCATACTTTCGAACGTTCATATTTCAGGAAACAATGAGCTAAGACTTACATGTAAGATGTCTAAATCTACGCCATATCCCTTACAAACCTTAACGATAATTCGCTGAAATACAAGTTAGCCTAATATGTCATTAAGCAAACAAATGCTGGAGTTAATATTTGATATGCCGATTTTCGCTAATTTTAGACACATTCCAAAATATGCTCCCCATTTTTAACATTAATATATCCGTGAATTTTTAAGTTAAATACAACTGTAATATATCAAAATCTAAGTTAGTCCTTCCTCTATTTAATGCAAGTTATTTCTCTTTAAAAACTTTACTTGTTTAGAAGTTATTACGAATCAAACAGGAGTACTTTTTTTTGGGCCACCCGGTACTATCCCAAGAGATTACGTTAACAATGCCTCTTTCATAAAACATACAAAACGAATTAAACGATTTCGCCGTCCTTGTTCGTATTATGCAAATAGCGTCGCTTGTTTACGAATACAGCGGTTGACATGTAGCGGTGACATCGAAGTAAATCCTGGATGCACAAATGTCATGAGTGCGAGAAAACTATACGGAAAAATCAAAAGGAAACTAACTGTACATCATGCCTCGATCTGTTTCACGTAAAATGTATTACATCCACAACTGATATCAAAACTATTATAAGTAATTATATTTGTTCCAGATGCCTGTGGACTGAATTGCCCTATCATTACATACAGAACGATAGTTTCTCACTAGAAGCGGGACAATCCTCCTCTACCGAGAGCGGTACTTTAGACCTAAATAAACACCTTATCAACCACATGACTTCTCTCACCACCAGACCAAAACACCTAAAACTAATGCATCTTAACACCCAAAGCATGGTTTCTACATTCGACGAGTTAGTTCTAACCATGAAGCAATATCCTTTTGACGTAATCTGCATGAGCGAGACTTGGTTAAAAGACAATCCACTGTTACTTCAGCACGTAAACATACCCGGGTATAGCTCTGAATTCAGAAATCGTGATTCAATAAAAGGCGGGGGCGTCGGAGCATACATCAATGAATCGTTAAAGTATCGTCGAAGGAGTGATATCGAGAAGAAAGAACCCAGCCTTGAACATTTATGGCTCGAGTTCCCCGGCAGAAATAAACATAGCAAACTACTTGAGGGGACAATATATCGCTCAGAAAAAATGCTAAAATGTACGGAATGGCTGAAACGTTTTGAGAACCTACTCGGGTATCTTACGGCTAGCTGGGATGGTCTTATTTTGGTAACTGGTGACATTAATATTGATCTACTTGGACATTTGAACTCTGTAACAACCCAATACTTGGACATGCTGTCGTCTTTGAACCTCTATCAGCACGTCCAAAAACCAACTAGAACAACATATAAATCCTCAACACTTATAAACCATATAATCTCAAATTCACCCACGCGCATCTCACATACTGATGTCTTACCTTGCCCATTGGTCAGTGACCATGACGCTATTTATGCCTGCATCAACATCAAAGTCACAAGATTTGAGACACGATACAAGTATATACGATGCGAAAAAAACTTTAACGATTTAAACTTCGTTGAAGACTTTAAAACGTTACCTTTCTCCGTAATCTATGGCGTCGCTGACCCTGATGAAAAACTCGATATATTAAATTCTTTAATTACAGAATGTATTGAAAGACATGCGCCGCTAAGACGAACCAAGATCACGAGACCCCCAGCACCATGGCTCAAAGATCCTACCATCCAAGATCTACAGGAGCAAAGAAACGTTCTTCAAGCCAGTGCTCGAAGAAGTAAGGATGCCCAAGCGTGGGAACTATTTCGTTCAGCTCGCAACCGCCTCAAAGCATTAATTAAAACTGCTAAAAAGAAATTCACGCAAAAAATGCTTTCTTCTAAGAAACCCAAGGAAGTATGGAAAGTAATACATCGCATCTTGCACCCAGAGCCGCGTAGGATCACCTTTCACCCTGAAAAACTCAATTCTCATTTTACTTCAACGGCAGAACGTACAATCGGCACTGACGTCAATGATAATAACAACAGTTACGACACTATAAGAAACATGATCGATTCGCTTCCCCCAGACTACGACAATGGCTTCCATATAAATCCTGTCACACTGGGCGAAGTTGTAAATGAAATACGTTGTCTACGAGGAGACTGTTCCACAGGACCAGATCACATTCCAGCAAAAATGATCAAAATTGTGGCCGAATATTTGGGTTCTCCATTAACCGATATCATTAACACCTGTATCGCGAATCGAAGCTTTCCGTCCGCGTGGAAGATTGCGCGTATTTGCGCAATCCCAAAAGTTAAGCAAATCACCTCTGAAAATGACCTGCGGCCTATATCAATCTTGCCAGTACTGTCGAAAGTGTATGAACGCCTAATCTTTCGCCAGCTTTCCAAATTCATCGATGATAACAAATTACTGAGTAGCACCATCTCTGCATATCGAAAGGGCCAATCCACCACAACGGTCATGCAAGCCATACGAGATGACATCACGAAAGCAATGAGTCGTGGAGAAGTCACGATGATGATCTTCGCTGATTTCTCGAAAGCTTTCGATACGATCCGTTTTAAAAATCTCATCTCGAAAATGAGCAAACTGGGCTTCCGCAAGGATTTTCTTACATGGACACTAAATTATGTCTCACATCGTAAACAGTACGTTCAGATTGATGATATTAGATCGAATACAACAAATGTTAATTTCGGCGTACCACAAGGATCGATATTGGGGCCGGTTTTATTTAATATATACGTTGCCGACCTTCAAGAAATTATCGACGCCAAAAGCCATCAATATGCTGACGACACAACAATCTATGAGCATGCTAAGGTCAAACATATTCATAGATGTAGAGAAACCATATCTGATTCAATGAAAAAACTCAACGACTGGTCAAATAATAGCAGCCTTGCCTTAAACCATAAGAAGACGAAAGCAATGCTTTTCTCAACTCAACAAATGTCAAGAGTCCACCAATTGGAAAATTATGAACCTAGAATATTTGTCAACGAACACGAACTAGAGCGCATAAAGTCATGCAAGTTGCTTGGCGTTCATTTCAACGAACACCTAAAATGGGACAACCATATCCGTCACATAACATCTGCCTGCTACGCCACCTTGCAAATATTAAGGAAACTTAAACATCTAGCTTCTTATTACCTTAGAAAGCAGTTAGCTGAAACGCTAATATTATCCAAATTGGATTATGCTGATGGTGTTTTCTATCCACTCCCGCAGTTTCTATCAAGGCGCTTACAGAAAGTTCAATTTGCAACTGCTAGTTTTGTCTTGGGTCGATATGTTAAAGATCAAAAGGATATCCTGGAAGTTGGATGGCTTCCAGTTAACGAAAGAAGAGACCTCAACATCCTGAAATCGAGTTTCAAAGCCATGTATTTCCAAGTGGCCAGAGTATCTAAAGCTAGAACGACAAACTTGCGTCCGAGAACTGCGCTCAACCAATGCAGTTAGACTAGTCGTGCCAAAAGAAACTGGAACGTTTCAACATAGTGCTGCGAAACTTTTTAATTCCTTACCTGAGAACATCAGGAATTGTACTAATTACAAAGTATTTTTAAAATTAACGAAAGAACTTTTATTCGAAAGAGCACGCCAAAACTAGTTTTTAATCCGAACATCGATTTTATCTAATTTCAACACTTAAACGTTATAGTCCATAGTTTATAGAATATAGTATTTAATTAGTATTTTAACAGGGAAGAGCCATATGTATGGATCTGTTGAATAAATCGTTATTATTATTATTATTATTATTAATTGTATAAACCCAAACATCGAAAAGCAAAATTCGCGGGAAAAAGCTCTATTTTTATGCAGCGTCGACAAAAGTCCACCATGTTCTCCGCTAATGCTTTCGTTTCCCCGGGTGTAAATAGCCGGGGGAAATTAGTGCCCTCGCACGGCGCTTCGCGCCGTCGGCTCGGGGACAAGATTTTTAATAAATAATGGAGAACATAACTGTTACATCATTACTGTCCATAAATAGCAAAAGCTAGTCGAGATGGACAGTAGTTACATTAAGCATCTTAATAAACAAAGAATAATCAAAGAATAATTAAAGAATAATCAAAGAATACTTATATTTCAAACAGAAAGGGCATTGAAGTCGAAATGTGCAAAACATTTATGCTTCACCGCATATAGGCTAGCTTTGATAATAGCCGAGACCGAAATCCGTAATATAAGATTAAAGTTAATGATCTTAAATTTTGATTTATATTTCTAAAACAGTTTTTGGTTTTTCCAAATTGCTTTAATATAACTGAAATATCAATATATTCATCTTCCATTACTAACATTTGGAGAAGCTTGTCATGCATTTTTTTCTGAAAATTATGTTTTGAGTTTTCACGTAATTCCATAGGAATCAAGCATTTTTTTAAGCATTTTTTCGGAGTGCATTTTATTACCATCACACCATATAGTTCAATAGTTGAACAATAGTTGAAGTAGGGGAGTACAAATGACTTGTACATCATCTGTAGTGTTGCTTGAGGTAACGTAAGGCTTCACCTTTCGTAACATAGCTATACAGTATAGAACAATTAAGAAATGTTTTCGGTTGGTTTTTCAACGTGTTTTGTCCATTGTAATTTATCATCTATTTCTAAGCCTAACACCTTTTTCTTGTAAACCCGTTTGATTATATGCATGATCTATAATTTTAATAATAGGGGTCATTTCTGATCTGTTTCAAGCGCTTTGCTGAGCCGATCAACATATACTCGGCTTTTTCTTCATTTAAAGTTAATTTGTTTGCGGCTAACCAAGTCTGAACGTTTTGGATTTCCACCCCCAATTTGTATTCAATTTCAAAAGAAGACTCTCCAGTTCTAGGCATTAGTGACGGCCATAATTTAATTTACACTATCAGAAAACACTCTATATAGTGTTAAATCTAAGCCTATCATGCACTATTCAATCCCGCAGTTATAAAAAATTTGATGAAACTTCATTCAAGCATGACATTGACCATTGTCATTGAATGATTCTATTCCGGCCATGGCAGTACATATGGTTTCCTTAGATGATCCTATAAAAGTCATAAAATGCTCGGGAAATTTGGAAAAAACTGTTTCTTGAAGTTGCTGATAAGAATAAGGAAAACTCGTGCACCTTGGCTCTCTGTTGAAATCAAGAAATTAATATGGGAAAGAGATCGACTAAAGCGGAGAGCAGTTTATACTAATGATGAAAACGATCGGGATAACTGCATGTTAAGAACTTAGACTTAGTTAACTACAAGATTAGAGCCGGATAGCAAAAATAAATATTATATTTATATAAATAACTCTTTGTTCTAAAACAACGTTGGCCGGACTAAGGAAACTAACTTGGAATGATATTAACAGTTTTCTTTCTAAATATACATATATATGTCGACTGGGTAGGAAAGAGAATCCACTGGGAAATACACCGAAAATTTGACATTGACACATTGTCATTGTTTTAACAAGAAATGATATATGCGAACACCAACTGCAATTACGCGTTATAATTTAGGGAATGAATTAATATTAATTATTATGGGATTTTAGTGTTCAAACTGACCATGAGATAGCTAGACGGCCCAGATCTAATACTAATTGACAACGGCCAATAAGCGAATGCCACATCGTTGATAAATGATAGATTTTGTGATCATTTTAAGTTTTTAACGTTATATTCGATATCGTGACAAGTGAGAGACATTATTAAATTAGCATTGAATAATTTTTAATATATGCACAATAATAAAATCTAGGCCGGTTTATATTGTCCATATGTTTATACGGTTATATTCTAATCCAGCAACATTTGCTCGTCGGCATTGTGTTTTCTCAAAACGATTAAGTCTTGATGAATGACAAAAAGCGAACTAAAATACAAACAGCACTGACATCGTCTGATATTTTTTAAAGGATTTGAAATCGACTGAGAATGTCACAGCGAAATACACGACAATATTAAATTATGCATGCATGCAGGTCTCAATGAATAATCATTGTCATGCAGTGTTTATATTTCATATAGATTTGGAAAACCTTAATGCCCTGCTCCTTTTATATTGTGGAAGATAAGGTAATTTAATGATTTATCTATAAAACATAGTTAATTTTGTTCATTTACATTTTAATTGTACAAAATGTTAAAATGATGGCGAGATGTTTGTGTTATGAAATATTTTACATGTATGCCAACAGTTAGTTAATATAGTTTCAATGCCATGCAATGGCAATATGTTCGAATATTCTTTTAAAGAATATATCGTGGCCTTTGGTTTTGTTGCATGATATTGTCCGTATATAATCGTTTATACACGAAATATTATAGTTTTTAGTTTAAATATACTTTAGCTTATATACGGGGCCACGGGGGGCTTTCAGATATATACGGCCGACATTTGGTTGTACCTGTAAACTATAACCATGAGCAAAAAGAAATATAAACATACTGTTTGCTGCCGAACATGCACAGCGAGAACACAGTTTTAAAATTACATACTCTAGTCTCTATAATACATTGTCTACGGAAGCGATCTGATTTACCTGATTGTCCGAATACCCTATTTGAAACTCGGGAACATTTCAATGACAATGGGGTAATTTGTGATGCAAACCGATTTCCATGTTAGTCGTGGATCGTGAGATCGTCGACCAACGTCATAACATTTAACTGGTGCTGTTTTATAATAGTTGCAGTATATAACTTCTTCCTATAAACTCCTTTAAAGTTACCATGCCATTAATAATTAAATCCTTTGGCAGTGTGTTCCAGACTCTCGTAGTCCTTATTAGCTATGATTTTTGATAGGTAGATGTTTTACATGCTGAAGTCTGAAATTGTAGGCAGTTAATTAGTAACTGGGGTTTGTGGATCATGTACGTTGACTTGAATCTTGAGGGTGTGGTAGTATGTCGCTGCTTAGGTTAATAATGTCATGGTGTGATTTGAAAAGAAACAATATATGTCTAGCTACTCGTGCCAGTAACACAAAGGTAGCAGATTCAATGTTGAGGGACGCTGGTTATAGCTGATGTCACAGAAGAACGGTAGGTGCAATATATACTTCGACGCACGTCTTTGAACACGTTCTGCACGCTTAATGAGGTCAAGAGATTGTGGAGACCAGACTTGGGACGCGTATGCGAGGTGGGGAACGAACGAGGGTAAGATATAGAGTCCGACTTAACAGAGATGGTCTTGCTTTTGATCGTGGACCGTCGAATATACCCGAGGGATTTGTTGGCTTGGGCGCACTGGTGGAGGACTTGTTTGGACCATGTGAGGGTGGAGGAGGTCCAGACGCCAAGGTCACGTTTGCAATCTGTGGTTTTCGCAGCGGAATCTTGCAACTTGTAAGAATGGTCGATTTTGTTGCGCTTTCTAGTAATTCGAAGTGTTTTACATTTATCTGTGTTGAGGAGAAGATTAGCATTGGCAGAGGTTTGGAAATTCGCAAGATAATTCTCCATAGCGGTTGCATCAGCCTCCACGTTTATGACCTTGCAAATCTTTGTGTCGTCAGCAAACGTCGCGATCTTTGAGTGGTTGATGGAGTTGGAGAGATTGTTCTGATAAATAGGAACAGCAGCGGCCTTGCGATAGGCTTGCGGAATTCCGGATGTCAGTGCTGATAATGTTGCACCAAGTACTGTAGTCTGCTGCCAACGGTCCTTATAAGGTAAGATATAATGCAGTTAAGAATATTGCTACCGAATCCAAAATCAAGAAGTCGTTTCCCAATTCAACAGTTGCATGTAACTTACTTGATCAAACGCCTTGGTTATATCCAAGTAGATCACATCAACTTGTTTCCCAAGATCAAGCTCACGACCGATATACTCAAAGACTTCAATTAGCTGTGTAACACAGGACGTCCGAGGAACAAAGCCATGTTGACCATTAAGAACGTGGCCAATACGTGAGCATGATGAAGAACCCCTTTCCTCAACCAATTAACACCTGATCCTGACGATTTAAACAAGCATTTCAGCTCTACCGCCCAACGTCTGCTTGGTTCTACACTATCGACATGCACGGACATGAACATTTAAACTTATTTAACTTGCGTCATGTTACTCACACAGAAGTGCTAAAGGAGCTTACCACAATAAGTCCAGATCAAATACCAGCAAAATATTTAAAGCTAGTTGCTGAATATATAGCCTCACCGCTAACGCATATCATCAACAATTATATCAGTCTCATGTCAAAGGTTCTCAGACGTTTGGAAGCATGCCAGAATTTCACCAATGCCGAAACTAACCGATCCAACAGAAGCAGACCACTTTCGGTCTATTTCAATTCTATCAGTTTTGTCTAAGAAAGATTAGTGGTGCTTTATCAGCTATTAACTTACATTACAGCTATTACAAAATTATCTGGATACCGCAAAGGACGACAACGATAGTTCTGTTGCGGATACGGTATGACATAATACGGGCTATGAAGAAAGGAGAAGTGGCACTTATTCCCTTTGTGGACTTCTCGAAGGCCTTTGACACTGTCGATTACTACATTCCATTGGTTTCTCTAGTTCATCTTTGAATTGGATACTTAGCTATCTTAGCCTATCTAACCGGAAGATCACGATCTGTTCAAATTAACGATAAGCACTCCAACTCAGTTAACATTCAGTTTGGAGTTCCACAAGGGTGAATCCTTGTAAACGATCTTCAGAACAATCATGAGTGCTCCTGTTTTCAATATGCCGATGACACAACATTGTATGACCATTGTATATCCATTGCTCACCCAGGGATCTTAGTGCGTCTTCAAATAGAATGGAAGCTACATTGTCTCAATTAGAGAGTTGGGCATCTGAGTCTAATTAATTTAATAATGGAGACAAAACAAACCAAATGGTACTTACAATACCAAGGTACATATAAATCTTGGAGAATTTATTCCTTCACTTTCCGTGGGAGGGCAGGCAGTAGAAAAGATAAAAACATTTAAACTCTTGGGAACTTGGATGAATGGCCTGACCATGTAAAGCACGTGTTATCGTCATGTTATGGAGTTTTATCCACTCTACGTAAAATACGAAATCTGTCCCCGCAAAATGTTAAGAAACAGTGTTGTATCCTAATGCATTCCCCACAAACACGGAATAGAGTCTTGCCCCAGCTCGAGGTAAACCTTGCCACAACTGCAAGAAAATAGGTCATTTTGCAAAATATTGCAGATCTCAATCCAAGGACAGTGGAAATGTCAGACATGTCGACCAAGAGAAAAGTTCGGATTATCTTCAAGACTCGGACGATGAATTCCTTTTTTCTGTCAACACAAGCTCGGGTAAACATCCAGAAACGCAAGTAGAGATTGGACACACTAAAGTAAACATTCGGATTGATTCAGGAGCCTCTTTTAATTTCTGAATTACCCAATCTTTAAACAAATTCAGGAAGACAAGAACCGTATCAAGTTACAAAAGACCGATGCCAGAATCTTTACATATGGAACAGCACTACTCGAGTTAGCCGGATAATTTCAAGCTACCATCACCTCAACATCAAGGTACATTCAAAACTTTATGTAGCACAGAAGAAATCTAAGTGTATTCTTGGTTAAGAATCATCTTCTTCATTGGGACTTATCATCCTCAATATCAACACCCTGAACCCGGTTCAACAAGATCATAATGTATGTCGCATCATCAACAAACATCCAAAGCTATTCGAAGGAACGCGAAACCTAAACAAGAAGCTGCAGGAGATGCGAGAAGAAGGGATAATCGGGAAAGTCGAGGGCGTCTTGGTTATCACCGTTGATAGCCACCTAAAAGTGGAATGGGGACCTCCGACTAGTGTTAGACATGCGTATACAAAACACAGCATTTCTAAGTCTTTACCGAGGTTGACCTGTCGCAAGGTTATCTTTAACTGATTTTGGCAAAGGAATCCCGTTATATCACAGCATTTTCAACTTCTGAAGATGGTCCGCATAGAATCACCAGGCTGATAATGGCAGCATTACCATCCGGAGAACACTTTCATGAAATTATCCACGAGCTCATAAAAAAGGTACCAGATTGCGCCAACATCTCTGATAACATTTGGCACACCTCAAGCAGCTAGACCAACTCTTAGCAATTCTGAGAACCAATGGCATCACACTGAAGTTACCAAAGGGTTCGTTTGCAGTACCGCAGATAAACGTGTTTGGTCCTATAGTATCCGAGAAAGGGATCAGACCAGACAGCGCCAAAGTCGAAGCCATAACAAATTCCCAACATTCTACCACAGCATCAGAAGTCAAGATTCTTTCTAGGCCTCACCAACTACTGTTCCAGATATATACCCGACTACAGTGAGCCTAACCTTTCCATTCCGACAGCTTACAAAGAAGAATGTCGCGTTTCACTGGGATCACAGTCATGAGAAAGCATTCCAGTCACTCAAGAATGCCATACCACTTCACCGGTATTAGCTCATTACAATCTTACTGCGGAAACAAAAGTCGTAATAGATGCATCGCCATGGGCACTGGGTGCCGTACTTCTCCAGAAACAAGCCGACAACAATTATCGACCGATTGCGTATGGTAGCAGATCGCTAACAGATGTCGAACAGAAGTATGGTCACATAGAGAAAGAAGGATTAACATGTACCTATATGGACGTAGTTTTGAACTGGAGACTGATCACCGAACTTTAGACCGTATCTATAAAGCAAAGCGTCAAAGCAAACCAACGTCAGCCAGACTCGAAAAATGGAGACTTCGACTCCAAGAGTATGACTTCCACGTTATCTACCGACCTGGGCCATTCAATCTGGCCGATCCTTTGTTCCGACTCCCGAAAGATGGATATGGCCATGTTCATTACATGACACAAGCTCAGACACCGAAAGCAATGAAATTAGAAGAAATCCAAAGAGAAACATTAGAAGATCCGAACTCCAGCAGATTAAACAGAATTTGCAAAATAATCAGGTGCACAAACCCGCGCGAAAGCATATAAGCTCATCGCTCATGAGTTCTGCATTACAGATCAACGTTTGAATGTACGTCTTGAGTCGGAAACCAAAACTGATCGAGAACAATATAAAATGGGTGTGGTAGGTTTTTAATTATTGATCAACTAGTGCGTGGCACGCACGTGCGAGTAAAAACAAGATATTTTGAAAAATTCAAAATAAATATTTCTACTCGTCGCATTCGGGCGAAACTTTCTAGTTCTACTTTCTAGTTCTAATGAATCTAGAAATTCAAAACTTTCCCGGGGTAGGGGCATACCCCCAGACCCCCCTGATTCTTCACGCCTTTTGCGCTCGCATTCGAAATGCCATCAAAATTTTGGCCCCCACCCCTAAGTTTAGATCCTGGTTACGCCACTGATGCCCAACTCTCTAATTGCATGAATCATTGTAACTGAGTAAGCAATGGTCATACAATGTTGTGTCATCGGCACATTGAAAACAGGAGCTCTCATGATTGTTCGATCTGAAGATCTTTTGCATACAAGTTAAAGAGAACAGGTCCAAGGATTGACTTAAGGAACTCCAAGCTGAATGTCAACTGAGCTAGTAGGGGCGTTTGTCGTTGATTCGAGATCCGCAAAAGCAATTGTGACGAAACACTTTTTCGTCAACTTGGGAGTCAAATTGACACACACAGTATTTTTTTGTTTTTTTTTTAATTCTATTCTAAAGAGCCTATATTAATAAAAGTTCCCAAGTATAATTAATTACCATGTAACTACAATTCTGGGCAGTTATTAGACAAGTGTTAGTCGATTTCACCCCACTTGTTTTCTATTCCGCTCTTCGGCCACTACGTTCGTAACAACTATGGACTTTCACAGCAAGGCATTCCTTTACAGCTACTGAATCCCTACTCGTCTCACGTACGGTCAACTGGTCTTGAATAAGCTTTATCAGACGCTTCTGATAAGATACTGAATTAACTTTGGGACGCTTTCCCATTTCCTGGGTCGGTGAAGACCTTTGTTCTCTTGATTTGCTTCCCTTCGCGGGATAACACAATAACAAAATTTAATATATATCGTTCACCGTTTAGCCTTAGCTTCGCACAACAACCTCTATCGCTGCTGGCTTTGTTTCACAGCTGTATCGGATGAACGAGACTTGATAGATCTTTTGCTCACGACAGTAAAGCACTCTCTCCTCGTGTTAGCACATCTCCACTGTACTTAATTACTTATCTACTAACTTGGTTCCTTGGGGTACACCTGAGGGGACGTGTCTCCATCACGAAAGGGCGTTGGCAAGCTTCACTCTTTGGTATCTGTTGGACAAAAATTTTAGTCGGTTACCTAGGAACACACCTTTCGGGGTAACGACGTCAGGTTTTGACGTTTTTTATTTAGAATGGGTGGTCAACTAGGTCAAAGGCCTTTCTATAATCAAAAAGAGTTACTCTGACTGTGGCGCCAGATTTGTCTGTAGCTTGGGACTATTCATTGAGATTAGGATAAGCACTCAAGAGGTCTTCGGTATGGCCCCGTCCTGGTCAGCCGGATCTAACGCTTTCAATATCTTCAATTAATGATTCGTGATCACAAATTCTTCTGCAACTTTAGAAATTGATGGCGTCAAGGAGATAGGTCGCAAATGTTTATTGACATCAGTAGCTGGTTTTAATATTACAGACTGGTTTTGCAAGTATCTCGGCATACGTTTTACACAAAGTTTGGGACACCATCAAGCCCTCAATAGCTTTTCGAGGATTAATTCTCTTAAGACAGCTTGCCTGTAAGAATCACAAAATGTGTGGCAGATATGAAAAACTGAAAGTTCTTCAATTTCCCTCGATTTTATATATATTGTAGACCTACCCAACCCCACACATTTACTGAAGTTTCAGCCATGAAGCACAAAATGAAGAAAAGTTAGAGCACTTCAAAAATCGAACCAAAACTGACGCGAAATGTCCAAGAAATTTCGCTATATAAAGTAGTCAACATCATGTGCTGTGCTCGCATTATAGGTTTTTGCTTTGCTGTTACAATATATGTCTTTAGAATGTATGGAACTTTCTCGTGATATCTTTTCTCCATAAATCGAAACTTATTGACTTGGTTATTTTAGATCAAAGATGGTTGAAATTTCCGGGTTTTCCAAACTAGCCAAAGTACGTATTGTGAATCACCTATTTAAATATGGTCCTACCTTCTTTATAAATGTACATATGCATAATTTGTTAGGGCTAGGATTTAGTCATTCGACGACGATTTCAAATGTTTGGGATTCCTTTGTGTCTTGGCGAAATTTGCAGTTAAACATGTACAATATTAGCGTCATGGGCAATTCCAGCTATAGACTAAATTTTGATTTGGGCAAGAAAAACAAAATCCATCAGCACAGCTAGAAAGAGCATGTTAAAATTAGTAAAATTACAAAGTTTCGTTGCAAAATGTTGTAAAATGAGGTATATTTTCCTCATTTTACAACATTTTGCAACGAAACTTTGTAATTTTACTAATTTTAACATGCTCTTTCTAGCTGTGCTGATGGATTTTGTTTTTCTTGCTTGCGGGAAATAATAGCCCTGAGAAATTTGCGAATTTTGTATTAATTTGTCAGTACGCACGGGAATTTGCACCACTTTCGGCCCAAATGTGGTATACAAAATTTGCAAATTTCGTAGGGCTATTATTTCCCGCATCTTACAACATTTCGTGGCCAAACTTTGCAATTTTACTAATTTTAACATGCTCTTTCTAGATGGATTTTGTTCTTCTTGCCTAGATCAAAATTTAGTCTATATGATCTATTATAGCTGGAATGGATCATTTGCATTAGACTAAATTTTGATCTAGAAAAAAATTTCATCACAGCTTGAAAGAGCATCACAAAATTAGTAATATTCCAAAGTTTCATTGCGAAATGTTGTAAATTGCGGATAATATAGCTTTGCGAAGTTTGCAATTTTCAGTCATTTTAGATTACAAAACGGGAAATTGATTCCCAACACCCGATTTGGACTGTCAATTTCCCGTGCGTAATACAAAATGACTGAAAAACGGCAAACTTCCCATGGCTATATTATCCGCATTTTACAACATTTTGCAACGAAACTTTGGAATATTACTAATTTCGTGATGCTCTTTCAAGCTGTGGTGAAATTTTTGTCTAGATCAAGATTTAGTCTATAATGCAAATCGTCCATTGCCCATTGAGTGGTTCGTATTAACTGGAGCGTGACACTGTGAATATTATTTCTTAAATTTTATTTCAAAACGATTCTGTGTTTACTGTAGTCGTCACTGAGAACACACGCTTCACTTCTCAAATATCGGTCATGCATTTTTAAATTAACTCAAATTTACATCATGAAAAACACAATCATGCAGATATGCAAATACTATACAAATATAAATAAAAACGTTGTCGTTGAATGGAAAATCAGCTGAAAAAGAATACAAGATGGTAAGCGTGATCTTCTCTAGAGTGCCTGCGACAAATTATATTGTGGACTAGTACGTATTAAAGAAAAAGTAGTTCCAAGATTGTTTACTACAAGATAAAATAATAATTGATTTGTGACATTTGTACTACGCTGTTAAAAACCCGGAAGTAACTTTCTCAACAAAGTTGTTAACCTGAGTATCAGGCCCTCGGTATTGAAAGAGGGCCTGACACAATTCGCCTCTAAGGGGCTGATTACATGAACCGGGCCAGCCCGGTTAACCGGGCTGAAAAATGTCACGAAAATCTTCCTTGGGCCGCAAAATGAGTTTTAAATCAGGTTTAGGATGATTTTGCATCTATAATAAACCAATTATTTATCGCAAATTTATTTTACGCGAGTTTTAAAACCACAGTAAGGTCCTAAACAAACGAGTCAGCCCGGTTAACCGGGCCAGCTCGGCACCATGTAATCAGCACCTAAAGCCATGTTCAACATCCAGAATCTGGATGTTATGCTGATTGGCTAAGAGATGATAAAACGCATCATGTGATTCAAACCGGAAATATATGACCGGCGTATGTAAACACCAAAAATATAGCCCGCGTGCAGGCCCAAGGGAACTGATAGTGGGCCTGCAAGCAAGGCCCGGTATTTTGTACTTTCCGCGTTCGCCCACGAACGCGGCATTCTGATTGGCTGTTTGCTGTTGGATTCTATAATTAGGTCAGTGATTCATCACAAAGGCTCTCGATAAGCTCAAAATTCGAAAATTGATCACTTATTTCGATTATAAATGGATCAAGAACAGGCTGTTTATTGTTTACTTGAAGGAAGAGATGTTTTTTCCGTTATGCCAATGGGGATTGCTTGTCGTGAGGTGTTGGAATAGCAACATTACGACTTGGGTAAACTATAGTAACCTTTACTTGAGTTTCATTAATTTCAAACAGACTTGATACGTTATAATATGTTCCTCAAGAAAATTATCTTTTGGTTGATGTTGAGATGCAGTTGCATGTAAGCCTATTCGAAACACTTTGCGATTTACAAGGTTTCGCTGAGAGACCGAAACAGAAGACGGTGTTAAATTGCCGTTTGAAACCGAAACGATCTGGACGCTCTGAACGCTCTCTTCTTTTGTAGAGTTCTTTACCAAATGAAATAACTGAAATAAATTTCGTACTTTCCGCCGCCAACAAGGATTGCATGCACACACGATCTGATAAGTGAGACAATTTATTTATAACAATGCCAATGGCGACAGCGAAGCACACATAAATATAAATGCTAATGTGGTCGCACGACTTCTCTCACGTTTTGAAGTTTGAGACTGGTTTTCTGTTGAAATTCGTCCTAATTTGCCTGTTCCGATTTTAGTTGAAAATGAGCACTTGCAAATTTGGCAATTACTGACTGCGTTGCTTGCTTTTTACTCGCTGGGGCACCTGTGCCCCAGACGAGTATAGGTTTCGGCTCTGTTCTTGGATCGGCAATCTCCAATGTCCAATCTCCAATCGTCGATAGCCACAAAATAGAATATTAATGAGCTGCTTGATCCTTTTCAAAATGGCGGGGCCTTTCGTGTTTCGTGGAGTGGGGCCTCAGCGGGCAAAATGTTTCAAACAATTTCGTGAAAATGTTGAACCAATTGTACCTGTTTCCTATGCATTTTGCATTGTGTCTAACTCTGGACATTCTTGCTAGTTTATTTAATGCGTATTTCTTGGTGCACGACTCTGAAAATTCGAAATGGGCTATTCCATTTAATATCCGTACCCCCCTGTCGAGGATACATGTTTTTCATTGTCATACCCCTGAAGAATTCCAAGCTCAAAACTGTTTACCCCTGAAGAATTCCAAAATTCCAAGCTCAAAACTCTTTACCCCTGAAGAATTCCAAGCTCAAAACCTTTTACCCCTGAAGAATTCCAAAATTCCAAGCTCAAAACCCTTTACCCCTGAGGAATTCCAAGCTCAAAACCTTTTACCCCTGAAGAATTCCAAGCTCAAAACCCTTCACCCCTAAAGAATTCCAGGCTCAAAGCCCTTTACCCCTGAAGAATTTCAAGCTCAAAACCTTTTACCCCTGAAGAATTCCAAGCTCTGAAAAATTTCAATCTCAAACCTCTTCACCCCTGAAGAATTCCAAGCTCAAAACCCTTTACCCCTGAAGAATTCCAAGCTCAAAACCATTTACCCCTGAAGAATTCCAAACTCAAAACACTTTACCCTGAAGAATTCCAAGCTCAAAACACTTTACCCCTGAAGAATTCCAAGCTCAAAACCCTTTACCCCTGAAGAATTCCAGGGATCCTCGACAGGGGGGGTACGGATATTTAATGGAATAGCCCAATGTTATTTAATATAAGTTAGTTTGTGCATAAACAACAAAATTACTGATATAAACATAGCAATTATTTGGAAATAAATTCAATATAAATACCCATAAGTGTGTGCTCCCTAATTTTTACCAATAAAGTTCGAGCCTTGAATAATCGATTTATCAATAAAATTTCGATTATTTTAAAAGCTTTTGAAGCGCCACTTGCCGTTTTGTTGCCGTTGGAAGCTTGCGATCGTTGTGCGATCAGCCGATTTTGAAGAGACCAATCAGAAATGTTTTAATGTTTCGCATGCGTTAGGAGAAATTGAAGTTTCGTCAGGAAGAAAAACTTCTATATTGATAACATTTTATATTTGACATTCACGTCATTGTAATTGAATTTTTCGTGATTTGGCATGCTCAATCGAGTCATTAAGCACTTGAGAAGCTGGAAGAGAAACGTATTTCTTAAAAGCCTTTGTCATATGTGTTAGCTATGGTATAGTAAAACAATATAAATTACGAGTTTTTATGTTCCGTACTTCGGTTGGCGAAGCTGGCTTTGCAAGTTCGACGCCCAATATTCCAAATTTAGAAACGAACTTGCGAATATTCATAACAAACTTGGCGAAAGCACTTTGAAAGTGACACCTAAAATCGACTCCACTTGTTGACTGTTTCTGTCAGGACATTTTTATTAGCAAGGAAAATCATTATTATGAACTAACGTTACTTGTCTAATTACCTCGTACGTTACAGTTCCATTGTTTAAGTAGAACGCCGTGGATTGATATGGATACAACAACCTGAAAATACGAGGAGAACGTCGACGTTTCGAGCGAAGGCCCTTCGTCGGTATTTGAATTCGGATTTCAAGTTAGCAAACAAATGTGTTATAGACATAGTACCTCCGAATACTTAGTTATACAGTACTGTTATACATATGGCTATATAAATATATCTCGAAATTATATACAATTTACTATAAAAAGTATTAGTAAATTTAGTAGAATTAGATATTTACAAATGACCTTTTGCGCATAGCCATAGCGGTTCTAAAAACATTTAAGTTTTTAGCCGTTCTTTCATTGTCATTGTCTAATAATTCATTATTCCAATATTTCGATGCACAGTATCTTAAAAGAGTTCAGACCATATTTGGTGGTTCTGACCTTCTAGATATTTTTAATTTAAGTTCTTCTCGGAGTGACGTGTACGTTCCGTCCTGCAGCAATTCCTGCATGTTCATAAAGTGGAGCTTCTTTATTCAGACATTTGTTCACTAATATAAGCATCTTGAATACGACGGTTGTCAAGCGAAACTGTATTCGTCTTTTTCTAAGAGCAATGTATAAGCACTACTCTTGTCGTTGAGTACATAACGCAAGGGACGTTTATTGATTCTTTCTAATTATATAATTTATCGCGATTTCTGGCACAGACCGTAAGCTGCCATGCCCATACGACAATAACTATGTCCTGATTCAGTCCTTCGCACGAAACTTTAAAATGTTTTAATAAATCTTTTCCTTGTCTAATCGTAGTGGTGGTCATTAACATATTTTGCGCTCTTTCACATTAATTTTGTGCAATTTGTTTACATTGTAACGCGGTAGTCATTTCCAACAATATCGTTTATCTTTAGAGAGTTATTTTAACGCATATGAATTATAATTAAAAACATTCCTTGGGCACATTATCTTCGTGTTTCGTGCACAATACGATTATGAAAGAATGCTGTTCACTAATATAAATACTTACTAAATTAAACCTAAACTTTTGTTCATGGTTCTTGGTTAAACCGTGTACGGTCAATTGTGCGCTGTATTTCACCCTAATTGTGAACATGGGTGCATATTAGGGGGTGTAACATGAAAATGACATGAAAATAGTTGATCTCAGTTTTGATTGAGACTGTATCAAAAGTCGGTCCCCAATTTCTGCCATGAGAGTTTTAATCCACAATCCATAAATGTCTGGTGTAGACAGGAGGATTTTTTCATCAAAATTCTTCATGCAACTCAGTGCCCGAAAGTGCAGGAAATGGCATTTGCAAGCCTCAGTTCTGTAAATTGTTCACGGGGTGGCATGCCCCCAGATCCTCCTAGTTTTCAACAATCCTATTATGCTTTTCTCTGTTACAATTCAATCATGTATTGCGTGCCGTGTTTGCTGCACTTGGCTGAAAATCTTAACTATGGTTCCCAACTTTAAAATAGCTGTTCCGCTGCTTAAAAAACCTGTTCCGCTGCCACTGGTTGTAGAATTGAAGAAAGTCGGTCCCAGGTCGTCCGAACCCCCTCCCCAGCAATTTGTTGAATGTGCGTCCCTGCTGTTGAAGGCGTGGTGGCAGAAGGCTTGTGCATTCAGAAGCGCCGGAATATCGATAATTGGGGGGGGGGCAGATATTCATATATTCGTGTTCTGCCCAATTAATTTCTTTTGAAATCGATTGTTTTTACAGTCTGTGAACACGAATATATGAATATCTGCCCCCGCTATTATCGATATTCCGGCGCCTCTGTGTGCATTAACGGTTCCGTTTCCGTTTTGTGCCAAAGTAGATTTTTATATTGCCTCGATTGAACTGAAAGAATTTTTGTAATGTTCACTGAGGTCGCAGGCACATGCAATGACTGATGTCGTCCCAACACAACGACATTGTTTAATGCCCTGCAGCAATACAAAGCTGATGCACCAATCTTAGATTTAATTTTATAAATAACCGTTAATGGCATATATGCCGAAATTGGCATTTATGCGGATCAAGTAGTATTATCAGTGGTGCAAAGTAACGAAGTAAATGTACTTCGTTACTGTACTTGAGTATTATTTTTGAGAAGTTAGCATGTAACAAAGTAAACTTTTTCTGGAGTACTTTTACTTGGAACGAAGTCGTTTTAAGAAGTAACGTTTTACTTCGTTATTTTCATTTTGTGGCGAAGTATTTCGTTATTACTTTCTAACTTTTGTTTAATTTTACTTGATTTATTTCTGATTTATTTTAATTTTGGGATAGGTAATAGGACCTCTACATGCGTCTGGGATCTCTTGTTTGTGGCTTACTTATAAACATTATTTATTAAATGGATTTCTTATATCTTCAACGGGGCCTGGAAAGTAGACCATGCATGCCGTGAAATATTATATCTTATTGGATTCTTCTGAGCCCAATATGGCAAAATATTAAGTCGAGACTTCAATATTGGGCGAGACCGAAGGTCGAGCCTAATATTGAAGTCGAGACTTAATATTTTGCCATATTGGGCGAAGATGAATCCAATAGGAGTTTTATTATATCGAACAAAACAATTCTATAACTAAAATTGTCAATAAGCGATAAAGTAAATACAGCGAGACTAATACAGCGACAACATTAATACTACATATATCGGCGGCGAATTTGCTTAAATAACTAAAAAAAAAGTTAATAAACCTGTTTTTACAAATATGTGTGCATAAATAAACTCATTTCCATGTATGTTTAAAGGAAATTTGACCTAATTTTAACGAAAAAAATAATATTACTAACTTCTAGGCTGTTGCAAACAATTAAATTTCGCGAAGAAAAGTTTTCCCGCGCTTTTATAATTTTAAACAAAACTAGTAGAAAAAACTGTATTAATGTCCCAAATTCTTTTCATTATTCTGCCGTATCTTTTTTCGTATGTTTGAAATTGACAAAACATCTGAAAATGGCTGAAAAACCATGAAAAAAGCCACAATTCGCAACTGTCCAATAGGTTCCTGTCCAATATCGTAAAATATTGGATCGGCACGTGACCCTCTCAACGATCACTGATTGGTTAAGTGCGCGTGAGTGTATAATAATGTATAATATAGGCGCACGCATATAATGCGTGTGTTGTTTTGTGTCTTTTATATGTCAATGCATTGGAGAAGCCCCCCTCACAAGCTACAGACAATAGTACTTTTACTTTTTACTTCAGGTATTTTTTAAGGATACTTTGTACTTTTTACTTAAGTACGTTTTGCCTCCGGTACTTTTTACTCTTACTCAAGTCGTTTTATTGCTAATTACTTCTACTTTTACTCGAGTACAAATTCAAAGTAATTTAGGCACCACTGTGTATTATTTGTCTTACGTAGGAGAATTGTGCTGAAGGTTTTGTGAGTTCTTTCAATTAAGAGAAATGAAACGGCGTATCTCAAGCGACTACTCATAATTTGCGTTTATTCATTTGCAGATTGGTCCAGAGCTGAAAGCTACGGAGTATGAAAGATTATATCAGATACGAAAAGCACTGGCACAACACAAGAGACGCGCAGCACTTGACAGATTTAAGAAGAACAACTCCTTGACATTGTAGAAAGAAGAAAATATGATTAACAATATAGATCATTCGAAGGCTCCCATCACGTTAAAAATTAATATCCCTGATAAAGGGATTTACGAGGTTAGACTTGTTGCTTTGCCCTTAATCGTAAGAAACTCTTTATATCTTGATTAGATTGCATAAACTATCTTTGTTAAGTGTTATTGCAGGAGGAAACTCGAACTAAACTAACTTTATTTATACTGAATAGCTCTATCAGTTCTAAACCTTTCTTCCTAGAGGTCCAGTATAGATCATCTCATATTGTTGCAGTATTACTACAGGAGGAAACCTAAATTATTAAACTAACTTTCTTTATACTGGATAGCTATTTCAGTTCCTTACTGTTCCTTTTTCTGCAGTATTAGTATATACATGCAGCCGGAAGAAACCTAAACTTTATTTATTACATAGAAGTAGAACTTATATAGAGCTATCCAATGTTGTCTTGTAGAAACGATTTACCTTCAACTCTGAAGATAAGGTTTGGGCCGCTAAAGAACAAATTATACATGAAATAGGAAAGGTGAGAAAGGTATTTAGTTCAGGCTGCCGTGATTTAAGTCTGACTTTCCTGAAAATAATCGAACGTACTTTGTTTTCGACGTTTTGAACGAATCAACGAAGGACACAGATCGTTAGGTGCTTTTGTTGTTACTAACACCTTCCGAAGGCTCTTCTGAAATCTTTTTCTAGTTGTCGAGACACAAACCACGACAGCTCAATGTACAATACTACCTAAACTGGCTCCTCCCCACATTTGAGATATCTTTTTCAGGTAGTTCAGACACAAACCATGCAGCTTATTGTAGATTAATGGCCACACTGGACCACCACGTTGGAACTGGCTTATCAGCAGTCATCATATCGTAACTTTTTGTATGTGACTATATTTCAGGAGTTAAAAGATATTCAGAACTATGGGTTTTTCGTGCCTCCACACCAAGGGAAGGCGGGAAAATTTATGGACGAAGGAAGACCTCTAGCTGAATATTCCATTCCTGGAAATGATCAAATTCTTGAGGTATTTATATTCCTAAACAGAAATTATAGTTTTTAAAGTAATATTGGTTGTCCACTTGGCCATGGTTTAATGTGCTCTCAGAGCTCTGGCCTCTGAGCTTATGGCGATGCTGATTGACTTATGTGGATTTATATCGCTTTGGGTGTATAGAGATAAAATTTCTGGCATGTCAATAGCTGAGTGGTCACAGTGCTGGCACATCGAACCAGATACCTTGTGTTCGAATCCTGTTGGGGACATAAATTACTGGGTTTTTTCATTAAGAGATTCGACCACAAGTTACGAAAATCATATTTATCTAAAGTTCTACTTTATCAATTATTGTAGTTCATGTTAAAGAGGCGGATATATCGATCAATCAGTTATGATGAGAATAAACTTACAAAAGTTCATACAAAGGTATGGCTTCCTGAGCTTAACTAAACAGTAACAAATGTCCGTTTAGTACCATGTACTTCTTAACAGTCCAACCTCGAATTAACTGACTTGATGTTCCATTCAGTAGAGATTTTCGCGTGCCAAATTATAACGGCACTTCGTAAAATGTAATTTGTTAATTGAAAGAATCCATTAATTTATTTTAAGAACTGTTTATACGTATTTAATTTGCAGGCAAATCTGAAGAAGCTCGTGGAACTGGTTGAACAAAACAACGCTGGTCAGGTTAACCAATTCCTGGAAAAAGGGCTAGATCCAAATTTCCAAGACCCGAAGAGCGGAGGTGAATTTCAAATTATTTTATCTTTATTCAACTGTTTGAATAAGTTTTATATCAATATGTTTATTAATAGTATTTTATTAAATTGTTGGGACCGGAGGTATTTGTCCACATAATAGGGGGGGACACCGCTTAAGAGAGGCCTGCGCTTAAGAGAGGTGTCCGTTAATGAGGATTCGACTGTATTTTGCTTGGGTAATTCACTATAAACTTAATGATTTATTTCTCATTTACGTAGAGACGCCTCTTACAGCAGCTGCGGTGAAGAAGAACGCGAACGAAGTGATTATGTTCCTCATCAATGGCGGAGCTTATTTTGATTTTAAAAATCGTAATGGACTCACCGCAGTACACAAGGCTGCTGTCGCGGGCAACTCTCATAATATCAAGGTACTGACTTTCTTGTATTCCAATCTGACCAAGATTCGCGATTATAATTTCACGTCAATCACATGTCACTGTCAGTTTGTTATAGTTTGAACTTCAGGACCAATATTAAAGGATTGGCACTTATTGCACCTCTTTATAATGTATTAATTAGTTCTTGTTACTGTAGGCATTTTTGGATCTTGGAGCCTCGCCTAATTACCGAGATCTCAAAGTAAGACTGATTTTTCGTTTGTTTTCAGCATATTATATATGTGTTGTACATGGGTGCGCGGAAATACCATGCGATTTATTTCGAGTGTTGAATATGATATGTCAAGAGTGAGCGCAGCGAACGAGTGAGATATCATGTTCAACACGAGAAATATATTGATCTGGTATTTCCAAGCATCCATTTATTTTTTCTGTTTATTATATAAAGGACAATTTTTACAGAAAAGCCGAAGCGATAATTGAAAAGCGATTATTTTCACATGTGAAATTATCATAAATAATCTCACATGTGAGAATAATCTCACATGTGAGATTATCAGTTTTGTCAGTGCTCGAAATCTCTATAAAGCACTATACTTTATGTAATTAATATACATAAACATTTCAGCTATTTAAAAAATGAATAAAATCGAAACGCAGAGATCATTTTAAGTGCTGTTTTTCATTCCTGCCTTAATTCATTTTTATAAAGGGACTAACTCCATTATACCACGCATGTCTGAGCGGTAAGAATCCAAATGTGGCTGAACTTCTGCTCGGTGACCAAGCTGAAATTGGCGTAGTTGACTCGCAAGAATGGCAAGAAATTCACCAGGTAGTTAAACACACGAGATTTTCCCACGCTTATTTACCTTTGTCCTATTTCAAGTTCTCGTGAGTGAAAGCACTTGTAACTAGGCATGTGTGTTGCCTGAAGTTGTGATCTGGGTCTATTATAGCTCTGTTCGTCCGCAACTGTGACAATAGTAGCTGCATGGGTAGCAAGGATACGGACAAACATTTCATCCATATGTGTTGAATTCGTTAAAAACATGTTGTGTTTTTCATGTGTTAGGTCTGTCGCTACGGTCACGTGCAACATTTGGAGCAGTTGATCTACTATGGCGCTACCCTCAATGCACAGAATGGATCTGGGAATACTCCACTCCATATTTGTTCTCTGTATAATCAGGTAAGGTAGAAAGAAAGAAGAAGGAAGGAGGAAGGGATGGGGAAGAACGGAAATAAGAAGGTGGGTGGGAACTGTATAGAAGGAGGGTAGATGGGTGGCTGTCAAATCTACCATCGATTTTTATCAAGTTCATTCTACTTGCTCATTGTAGGAAGACTGTGCTCGACTTCTGCTCTACCGTGGAGCGAGAAGAGATATCGTGAATTTTGCAAACCAAACTGCTGAAATGGTAAGAAAACACGACATACACGAATAAAAGTAATTATAGTGTATTCAGCTATAGCCCTAATAGCCTACATGGATTCATGACAAATGCTAATACGTTTTAGGTTGCAGTGGTCGCCACGAATGTAAGTCTGTCTACATTTATCCGGAATTACAACGAAACCGACGTAGGTACGTACTGAGTAAGAAAAATCGTGGGCAGGTTAAATATCAGAAACTCCCTAAACAAAGGACGTTTTGTCAACACCGACGTCAGGTTGTCGAGGTGGGACTAGATTTTTTAAAAACTGTGTTTGTGCCAGTTTATGGTAATTTCAACATGTATTACAAAACATGAGATTTTTAAAGTTTTTTGCTTCCTTACACGAGCACTAGGAGGCAAAATTCCTCCAAAATTAGTTATACCACGTCATAGATATCTTATATACACTAGATAGTGCATCTATAATTATTCTGCAATTCAAAAATTGAAGCCGTGATTGCAGACTCGGGATATCCCCATGAAATGAGAAGACTCGTATGTTTTCTATTTCTTAAACAGGGAACTTAAACATTAAGTTAAACCTATTCCAAATACATTTTCAAACTGTTCAAATGATGAAAGTTATTGTTGTTTAAGTGTTTATTAGCGAGTGGGAAACTTCAACATGGCCGCCATCTATTCAAATGGGGGTAACCGCTGGAATATTATTGGCTTCAATTTTACTTAATTAAAGAGATGCGCTATCTAGTGTATATAAGATATCTATGGGTGACGTCCGTGTTGATAGAAACGTCGCTTGCTGAAGCTCACAGTTTTGTCACAGGCACTGGTTGCATGTTTTTTTTTGTACAATCGCCTCAAAACTCCTCTTCCGCTCAAAAAGGGTTGACCTCCGATCATTTTCTTTCCTACTTTTAGTACCGTATATCGATAAACCTACCTACAGTACCCGACGACGAACACAATTAAAAAACCGACCTACGGCCAATTCCGTGTTTCTCCGAGACTCCACCGACACCTTCATATTTTGTTCCGAGTCCCTCAGTACGACATCATCAACCCCGTCCATCCACTCTGAGACCTCAGAACCCATGTCCCTCGATCTTTCACCCCGGGAAATTGTTCCCCAGGTAAGCTTAATTAATACATTTTCCAAAAATTGTGTGTGTCTGTTTAGCATGATAACCCAAAAATACAAGCAAAACTTCGACGTTTCGAGCGAAGGCATGCACTTCTTCCAGACATACATACACACTTTATTTAGCAAGTAGAAATTTGACAAGTACAAATTTAAAGTTGATTTCCACAGGGGGCGTCTATATAGAAAATATTACAAAGAATATAAAAAGGAAGGAAACAAAGTCTGCTACTAATCCACGATGGTGTGTCCCAGATAAAGATATGATTAACTGAATCCAGACTCGGTTATTAACATCAAAAATTTTGTTTTCTACAACTTTTAACTATATAAATTGATTGAGCTTGCTTAGCTTCAAGCGGAAGGTTATTTCAAAGATGAGCACCGCTATATTTAGAGCTTCTTTTGAGAAATTCTCTGTTTGGAAGGGTCAGATCAATTTGAGAATTTCTAAGATTATTATTGTTTATAGTAAAATATTTCTACATATGAATGAATCTAAATCGTGAGCTTACAAAGATATTTTTACGCATCTTTGCGTTCCGTTGGTGCTGAGGCGTTCGGATTCTAGCAGTGCGTTGTTTCAGTGGTTTGGGTTTTTTTGGGACACCCTGTACAGTATATACTGTGAATTAAAAGGTCTATATGTTAGCAAGAGGAGGGGCACCATGCAATGGACTTTACGCCCAGTTTGTGCCTTGTCCGTTTGAGTACAGTACTCGCTCTAATTGTATGTTAGATGAATATTTGTTGAATTAATTTGTACTCAATAAAGTTTAACAAACAAACAAACAAATCTTTCAGAGTTGGTGCAACACTATTACTCAGGAGCCGGTTGTATAAAAACGTAGTTAGCGCTAACTGCAGTTAAAAAGTAGTTAACTCTTTTTCGTTCGCTGCTGAAATAACCAGGGGCCGTTGTATAAAACTCTTAATCACTTTTTTAATCACTATTTTGTAGTTAAATAGTGATTAACTCTCAAATACGCGCTTTTTATTGGATTACGTTTCCACTAACTATAGTTAACTTTAATCACTTTTTTATACAATCGGCCTCAGGACTTTATATAAGAATGTTGCCTTGGTTAAGTAGGCCTACCATCTTGTTTCCAAATTATCCCAGTCAAGAGACGAAGGGCCTTCGCTCGAAACGGGTCAAGAGACGAAGGGCCTTCGCTCACAATGTTGACTGTTTGCTTGTATTTTCCAGGTAGCTCAATCCCTCTTAAGTTAATTAATCCGCAGCTTTCTGGCGTTATTATCACAACCTACGCTAGCACAGATCGTTCGACGTTATACGTATATACGAATCAATTTTCGAACTCACGCCAGCGTCTTAGCTAGAGGGCTGTGTTGGCCGTGTTATCGCGGCCAATAGTGGAAAACCACGTCTAGATAAAATGAACGTGGCTTCATCATTTATATAAGGCCGTGTAGGTTCATAAAATAAGGTGGTGCTACTTGCAACAGACAGAATTTCTTTCTATTTACGTCGTAAGAAAGTTTGTAAAATCTACTGTTGTTGTTGAGTTGGCAAAAGTAATCCGTGATGTTTTAATGTTTTGATGGATAATGGCAACTGTATGGTGTTAAAATGGTTTTAAATACCCCCAAGAGTTGCTGAAATAACTTAATATTTTAATGTCAGTGCGCAATATGAGCGTATGCTCGCCTTGTATTTGGTTGCAAAGCATAATTATAGAACAACCACATGCATTGTTGTTGGCGAGCATAAATAGAACCGTGATTGGCTATTCAAGGTAATTGACATGTGAACGCCCTGGTCATTAGAAACACACCCAAGATCTAAAATCGTAGCTAAGACCCTGACTCACAAAAATGCCGTACCTAATTTAATTGAATTCGGTACGTGTGAAGTGTGTTGTATGAAAGGGGCTTTAAGGCGCTGTTACACTAAGCAACTTGACTCGGAACTTGTCTCGCAATGTTAAGAAAAACAATTTCAGGATTGCATTGCAAGGGATGTTATTTACACCAAGCAATATGTTCCACGCAACTTGCAATGATCAATGTTAAAAATAGTATAAAAACCGCGAGTGCTAACGTTTGGCGCCATATGGTCAATCAAAAGCGAATAGGAAGCCATTCAGTGTATAAGCATTGCGAGACTAGTTGCAAGAGGGATGTTACACTGTGCTATGCTTTAAAAATGCGTTGCAGCGTTGCCGCAATCGTTGCAAAAAGTAGAACCTGATTCTACTTCGTGCAAAGGTTGTTGCAACAAAAATATTGCGAGACTTGTTGATTGCGAAACATGATACACCTTGCAATTTCGCGTACAACGTGTGTCGCAACAAAATTGCGAGGCAAGTTGCGAGACAAATTGCATAGTGTAACAACGGCTTTAGTAATACGCTTTTTTCCTGCTTTAGGTCAGAGTGACAGTGGCCGAAGAAAGCCCAAGCAGAAAGCCGAAACGAAGACGGACTTTGAGTGGGTCTGGATCGGACTCCTCCTATGCCAGTGACTCCGCGGACGAGGGAGGCTCAAACCTGACCTCCCCCGTTCTCTCGCCCACCTCTGATGAACTGAATTTGCGCTGGAGAACCTACTCTCTATCCTCTCTCAACAAGGAGGAGAGGGGGAATATCCCCAGAGTAAAAGAGGTGAAAGGGGCCGCGAACATGGGTCCCAACCCTGGAAAGAGTAACTCACGCAAGACCTATGTAGCTGTGACTAACTTCACCCCCACCCAAGCGGGGGAGTTGTCGTTGGCGGAGGGTGATCTCGTTGAAGGTAAAGGTGTACACTTATCGTAGATGGTTTTCAGCAAGCACTTTGTGCAGAAGATGGTGGACAAGCTAAACTCGGGAATATTTTTGTAGGTTACCTCCGTCTGAAACCCATCCGTACTGAGGTGTGTCTGACTTTCAATTGTATGTTTTTGTATAGTGATAACGAAGGGTGAGAAGGGCTACTGGCAAGGTTCGGTTGCTGGAAAAACGGGTTGGTTCCCAGCCGAGTGTGTGGAAGACCTAAAGAAAAGTAAGCTTAGTTTGTATGCAAACCTTTGTAGAACACGTCTGTTCACATTGTCTTTTCCTACTAGATTCAGAGGCTTAACATCATTTGTAATTATTGTATACCGTACGGTGGTATACACTCAATTGGAATATCCAATCCACATGTACGACAGATATATAATTGTCGATTTCAAATCACTTTTCAACGCGCGGTTCCCAAGTTCGTTGCGAGCTTGCCAATTGATGATTCCCCTTATTACGTTTTCGTAGCGCTTTGCATTGTGGTTATAGTGGTATCACTGATAAAGATAGCGACCTCGAATTAAAATATTGAATGTTTTCGCGAATATTTTGCTGTTTGCTATCGCGCACCTGAGCCTAGCTTTTTTTAAAAGTTCTTGCATGGGTCAGGACAAAAAATGAGCCATCTTAAATATCAGTGATACCACTATAACCACAATGCAAAGCGCTACGAAAAACGTAATAAGGGAATCGTCAATTACGTTTCCAAGTTTGGTAATTGGGCGCGAACTTCGCAACAAAGTTCGCAAGTTTATTTCACTGTTTGAACTTCGTTTGTAAACAAATGTTCATACTCAATAATAATAACCAATTCAATGAAGTACAAACCTTCTTGGCAGCCAACTGGACCAAGAACTTTCCATTGAATTGTTAGTTTCGATTTGAACTATGGACGTTTGTTTACAATAGTTCAAACATTGAAATGTACTTACGAACTTTGTTGCGAAGTTCACGCCCAATTTTTGAACTTGGAAACGTAATTAGCAAGTTTGCGTTGAAAAGTGACTTGAAATCGACAATAAACTCTATCCTTTTTTAGGGAAGCAGAACAAGTCCAAGAACTCGCTACATAAACCTGCTTCGATTGCGAGCTCCCTTAACAAAAGGTAATGAAAACGTATTCCAAATCACATAACATGTGTTGGTGTCGGTTATTATGTAATTCAAATGTGTGAGTTATGGACGACAATTAATATTAAACACTAGCTGATATGACTAAATTTTTCAAAGTCTTCAATTGTTTTTTCAGTAACACAAGTTTAGACCAGCCTTATATTCCTCCTGTTGTGACGACACCTCAGCCACGACAAGTCATCCTACATAAAGTCAAAGCAGGATTTGGATTTCAAATGAGAGGCGCTAACGGTAAGGCTTGATCCAGGGCTTGAATTTTGTCGCGGCAATTGCCGTAGGCGTAGAGGGAGAACAAAATGCCGTGGATAATTGCGGCAACGACGGCAATTTTTTGCCATATAGTGCAATTTTTATACTATTCACTGTGCATTACTACTTTGATACTTGAATCCAGATGTTGATGAAATCATGCGTAAATCACTATTTTAGTCTCTAAAATAGTGAAGAAATACGTAGACGAAGAAATACTAAAGAAATACGCAGACATGTTTCTAGCTTCTCAACAATCCAAAGTAACAATAAATTACAAATTATTGCAGTAATTTGAAAAATGCCGTGGAAGCTGCTAAAATTGCCGTAGACAGCTGTTACGTTCTTAACGCCATTGCCGTCGATTGATTTCAGGGAAATTCGAGGCCTGGCTTGATCATTGATCTATAAATAATACTGACTAATATTGGGTTTCTGTGGCGGATGTTACTAACTTCCCAACGTAGGGCCTTCGCTCGAAACGTCGATGCCTTGCTTGTATTTGTTCAGGTAGTTGAATCCCTTTCAATCTGCAGCTTTCTTATCTGTTCCTTGCATTTAAATGAGTGAGTAAACTAATGCTCCCCCCCGTATTTAGTTCCAGCCGTGAACAAACTGGAATTTAAACCATCGGCAAAGATACCAGCACTGCAGTATGTTGGAGACGTGGAACCGGGGGGTGAGGCTGAAAATCGCGGAGTCAAGAAAGGCGACTATATCTTAGAGGTATGCTTGACGATACATAGTCAATCAAGACATGATGATCTGGAAACTTAACCGAAGTCATTGTGTTATGTTTTTGTCTCAGTTTATGTTAATTTGTGCACGGTCAAGGTGATTGAACTCGTTGTATTTTCGTCCAATAGGGATAGCTGAGGTGATTTAAATGGTCCATTGGTTCTACTTTTGATCATATTAGTATATGATTCGACCAATCAGCTGGCGTACAATTTTATTCCTCCTTCATTTTTAGGTTAACGGAAATGACGTCAAAACGGCGAGTCACCGCCACGTTGTTAGTCTGATCAGAAAAACCGGACAAACCCTGGTCATGAAATTGATCTCTGTAGATGATGGCGAACATTTTAACAAAGCAGCCCGATCTGGTAGCCCCTCGGAAATGTTACCCCCCTCGATGCCACCCCCGGCTCCCTCGACGAATAAGGACAAACGGAGCGGTGTGATAGTTAATGGAACTGGCCATGTTGATGGAACCGCCGACAAGAGACCGCCTCCCATACCATCAAGGGCGCCTACGACGTCATTGTCCAGCAGACCCAAGGATGCGAGGATGTCTGTGACAGGTATGGACACGTGCGAACAAGGCTTAGACCAAAATATTGTTCTTGTTTTTTTGGCCAAAACTTCAATCACAAATACAATTACAAAATAAAACACACACGTCACGAACAAAGACCATATTTTATAATAAAACGAAATCCAGATAGCATGGTTCATTTCAGGCCAGAACAAATCCGTTATTTTAAAGGCTCTGTTACACTATACATACATCTTGTTGCATCTTGTCTCGCAACTTGTCTTACAATGTTAAGAAAAAGTTGTCATCATTGCATTGCAAGCGCGATGTTACACTAAGTATTATATGTTTCATGCAACTTGTGAAAATTTTGTGAAAAGTTTAGGGGGAAATTTTCAGCCAAAAGCCAATGGGAATTGGGAAGGCATTCAGTGAGTGAACATTTGTTTGGGTTATTTTCTAAATTTGATAAACAACATTTCTTTTCAGACATGGATTTCGAGATGATACCCGCTGTGAAAGAAGATCGCATTATTTCCGTACCCAGAGAACGCATCTCCTCCGCCGAGCAGCAATGGCATTCACCACTGACCGGTTACAATTCCTTACCGCGGCGCCCAAAAAGCTCCTATGGTGCGATCATAGGCAGTCCTCATCCAAGCCCATATATATCGGATGAAACTCCCTCTAGGAACTTTCGCCCCGTCCAGACCGTAGACAATACTGGGTTTACCACCCTGCCTTCTAACGCTCGCCGCTTTGCATCCCAAGATGACTCAGTGGTTTCTCGCAGACGACCAGGTTCGGCTCGGTCAAGCAGGGACCGCCCTAAATCATGGATGCCTAAAGTTTTACCCACAGAACCCCCTCCTATTTCTCCCCCCGTCCCCCAGGAACAACTTCCACCTAAGCAAAGTGAAGACTTCAAACCTGTTGCGAGGATGGACTCGAAAAGGGACAAAAAGAAACGATTTTCATTTCGAAAAAAGAAGGAAAAGGATTATATTGCTACCTCTGCCCCAGAGCCGACAGAGCCGGAAGACGAGCGTGGGAACAAGGATGATGTCACCACTAATGACGTCACCGAGAATCTTCACATCGAAGGCGAGGAGAATAGGCCGAATTCTTTACCAGGTCTTAATAAAAGGTTGTCTACTTTTAAACCGGTCACAGTACCCCATAGACATATCGTCCACACTAATGCAGTGTCGCCCGAACTTTCACAAGCACTAGAGAAACGAAAATCGCGGGGTTTTTCTTCCAGTACCGACGAAACGGTCTCTCCGGTATTTTCCCCTGGGCATGAAGTCCCCGTGCCGGTCTTCCCCCCTCCTCCCGGCCACGCTCCGCCCAACCCACCCAAAGCAAAGTCACTGGAGGAGTCGATCAAAGAGGAGATGATGCGCCGAAGAAGTAACACTGCCCCAGCTTCGTCTATTCCCGCTAAACCCCGCCGGACGTTCGAGTACAAGAAATCTAACGGCGAGCCTCTACTGGAGGGAGAAGAGCCCCCGGGAGAAGAAGGAGGGTTGGACTCCGAACTCGCAAAGGCAGTTGCAAGACGGGCAGCTAAAATGACCGCTGCGCCGAAAAAAGATACACATATCTACGAAAACGTGCAAAATTTGAACATTAATGCCTCCAGGGAACCGAGATCCTCTGTTGAAGAACCCCCGACTTTAAGCATCGAAGAGAAACTGAAGAAATTGCATTTAGAGGGCGAGGTTATTCTGCCTACGAAGTTCAAACCACCAGTAGCTCCCCCACCGGGGAAAAGCACTAGGGCAAAACCGCCGTTAGAGGCTCCTAGTGGGAAGGCTACATCACCTGGAGATGTTCCTCGTCGGTTTCAACCCACGGGAAATTACCTCCCAAAACCTTACCTAAACCTAAAAAGAAGTCGCCGTCAACTGCTTCGGATTCTGGAAGTGATGATGTAATAGCGACTTCACGACCAATGACGTTGCCCATTTCGACGTCACCTCGAACTACGTCACTTCCCCAGCCTCTGCTGTCACCCGAGATGGTGGCCACTCAGCTGTTGGATGACGTTATAAACGAAGAAGTGAAACGATCCAATTGGGATACAGCATCCTGGAAAGATAAGGACCCTTCATCCGAGCAATCTTCGCCGACGTCGCTAGATACGACAAACGACGACACTTCTTCGACTCCTGGTTCATTAACACCTTCGGGAAAAAAGAAATATGTTTACAAGATTACGTTGGTTACCGAAAAGAAGGCGGACGGTTCCGAGCAGACACAATCAGTTACACAAGTTATAACCAGAAATTCCCAGCCAGCTCAATTACTTTCACCCGGAGGTTCAGAGCTCCCCCCGCTGCCTGCCCAGCCACCACTAGAGTTTCTTGATGAAAATTCATTACCCGCACCCGTGTTTACTCCTCCTACCTCACCCAGCACCGAGCTTACTACAAGTCCCCCAGAATTTACCCCTCCACCACCGCCATCATTTTTGCCTCCCCCGCCACCCGTAATTGAGGATAACATCCCATCGTCCGCGGTGAATGTAAATGTAGAGATCTCACCCTTGTCCCAGTTGCCACCACCTGTAGCATTTCAGGAGGAGCCCCCCTCTAAACCCCAGCCGCCCAAATCAGAACCTCCTACTTCAACACAAATTGAAATCCCCCCATGTTCACAAGAACCCCAACCCAGTCCACCTGTCGAAGAACCTTCCTTACCACCCCAGCAAAAACCAACGCACCAACCTATAACTACCCCCTTACCTCCGCCTGACTCAGAGGAAACGGACTATACCTCTCAGCTCCCTGCCCCAGTAATCCCCCCTCCTAACGAAAACTTAAAAAACCAGGACCTACCCCTCACCTCTGCTACTCTTCCCCCACCAGAAGAGTTCAAAGAAAGCAAGTTAGGCCAGCCAGTCAAAGAGGAGATTGTTGTCCCCCCTCCTATTTTTGCTGACGTTACTGATGGCCAGGGCTTACATTCGAATGAAAGTTCAACGTCCGAAAAGCAAGGCCTTGATTTGGAAAAGGATGATGGCTGTATATCATTGGATTCTGAGACAGTTGTAGCTGACAATGGTATAAAAACGCATGTTTCAAACGTAGATGAAGCCTCGAAGAGAAAATCATTGGAAGAAAATATGCAGGCTGAAGTTAAAACAGAAGATCCTAAATTGCTTGTCGAACAGTCTTCAAACGAAACGTTGCAGGCCCAAACTGAAACAGGGGAGGCTAAGTCGCTTACACAAGTCCCCGAAGAAGTTGTTGATACTCAAGAAAATCAAAACCTAACATCAGACGAAAACTCGCAAAGCCAAGTCAAGAGTGAGGAATCCGTCATAGGTAAGAACAAGCACAGGGTCGGATTTTATTGGAAATTAGGTGGAAAAAGTTTGGGGAAGGTGTACTGTATACATATTTATGATATCTATCAACGTGTATAACATGTCCTACAACACTACGAATTTCTTTCGAAACATGGCATTAAAAGGGTAACTGATGCATAGGTGAACGATTATAACTTTTTCAATTCTATAGAAGAACTTTGTTGCAAAGTGTAGAATCTAACTCGTGGGCAATAAAAATTAGTAACAAACATGAAAGTTAATTTCTAAGTGTGACTCAAATTTTGACAAGGAGAAGCGAATGCATGAATTTTCAGGGGGAGGTGTAAAAAAACGTTCTCATCAACATTAGCTGAAATTTGAACTTCAATGTTAAAAATTTACCTGAAGTGTATCAATTATAATAGAGCTTTTTCTGATTGTCATACTAAGTTTCGGAAGAAAAGGGTCCTCCCCCAGAAAATGTTTACGTTTTTGAAGCTCCAGGAGTGCATCGTTACGTCCTTGCATCAGGAAGCATTAAAATGTGCATGTTAAGGAATATTCAGCTGTTCACTTATTATTTGTGTTCACTTTTTCATAGGTGAACCAAGTAAAGCCGTTTCTCCCACGAATGTGAACAGTTCTCAAGACATCTGTGGTAAGGAAGTGCAGGCACTTCCTGAATCCAGGGATCAGAATGAGAATGTAGTGGAACCACCGACCGCGTATACTGGAAATAAGGAGGTCAGTATTGTGAACTCTATGTATAACGTGATGAATAATTTATGAGTTGAGTTATGCAATATAAGTCTAATAATGTTGATTTTTTTCTCCTAGGAGCAGGCTTCTTCGAAAACAGTCGAGTCGGACGAGTCCACTGATAGGTAAGAAATCTTCTGGACACTTAATCTTCTGATGAATGATAGATACCAGAGGTGTAACTTAAAAACACTTGCCCACTTGCCCGGGGAAAGTGAATATCGTGACGGGCAAGTAAACATTTTATCACTTGCCCGGTTGGGCAAGTTGCCCTGCCACAAAAAGCCGGGCATCTTTAAGTTTATCGCCTGTATTCTAAAAGCTCAATCACACTCAAAGAGTGGAGGTTCAATCTGAGCTTCCTTTGAATGTCAGCGTGCTTTTGAATAACTGGAGGGTGAGTCTTCTACCTTATTGTGTAGCTACTCACCCTGCAGCTATTCAAAAACAGCACTGAACCGCAAGGGAAGCTCGGATTGAACCTCCATTCTTTGAGTGTGAGTGAGATTTTAGAATACGGGAGTATCGCCGTATGTTTTCATTGTCGGATATAAATTGTTTATAGTGAATGTACTTGATTCAAACTTTTTGTTTCGTGTGCCAAAGGTAGATCTGAGGTAGTACAACATAGCCATATAGAGAAGTGGGAGAACGGGTCGACATGTTGTCCCCTTAATTTATACCCCCTACCTAGGTACCCCAGCGGCCATTGTCTGATGGCAAATTAAATGAATTATACATTCGTGGCAACTAATTTTCATGTCCAACTTGCCCTTGCAAGTGATCGAAAAGGTAAAGTTACACCACTGAACTTGTTAACAAGCTTGCTACAAACCTATTACAAACGCATCTTGTTGACAAGTTGTTGGAACAGCATTGTCACAAGCTTGCTAAAAAACCTATATTACAAACACAGCATGCATTGTAACAGCATGCATTGTCAAAACTTGTTAACAAGCTTGCTACAAACGTATTGCAAACACATCTTGTTGACAAGCTGTTGGAACAGCATTGTCAAAACTTGTTAACAAGCTTGCTACAAACCTATTACAAACGCATCTTGTTGACAAGTTGTTGGAACAGCATTCTCACAACGTACTTCATACGTGAAATTAAGATGAATAGTTTCCTGAAAATGACTGGAAAGGATTAGGGTTAGAATACTGGGTTTAGTATTGTAGTTGAAAAAATATGGTATTGACCCGAGAAATCTTCAATTTTATTTTCAGTTCATCGTTTCGGGAAATACCGTACGAGGATTGGAACTGTGCGCATGTCCGCGATTGGCTGACTTCCATCGGTATGGCAGAACATGGAGACTTGTTCCGAGCGAACGATATCCGAGGCTCTAATCTCCTAGAGCTAACAAAGGAGGACCTTCGTGAACTCGGAGTTAAGAAACTAGGTCATCGCATGACAATCACCAATGAAGTTAACCGACTGACTACAAACAATGGCGCTGCTACTAATCTATAACTATAAGAATGTTTGGGTTTTCACATTAAAAAATTAGGAGGAGCAAAATAAGGTGTTCTAAACTTGTCTTGAAACAAGCGGAGGCGTGGCGTCGACAAAATTTCCCACGTGGCTTGTTTATGAAATTGCTGCCTAATTTGCAACTTCAGATAACTGACCTGTCTAGTCACTGTCGTTTTAGTTTACAAACAGGGTTCATACAAAACTTGAAAGTCTTGGAATGTCCTTGAATTGAAAACAAAAATTTAAGGCCTTGAATTTCATTGTAAAGAAGTACTTGCTTTAGTTTTTGGATATTTTCTGAAATTGTTTGACATTCAAAACAGATGTTTTGTTGAATTGATTTTGCATGTTCATATCAGACAAAGCTGTTTGAAGCTCGTTAAACTATGAGTTGCATTTTGAACAATTCAACGTCAGATTTTACTGATTTCTAACCCCTTTTCTTCAGTATTTAGTCCTTGAATTTGCTGATACATGGCCTTGAAAAGTCCTTGAATTTGAATCTTCCTCATATGCACGAACCCTGTACAAAAGCATTGAGTAGTATACAGAGGTAACTAAGCATCATTACACACGTAAAAACGAGCATGTTGTTACAAATCTGCAAACAAGTTGTAACAAGTTTGTTGTCAAGCCGATATCAGGATGTGTTCGCACTGTTTGTTCCCAGTTGTTATGACAAGTCTGGAACAAGGTTGTTACCAACTCATCATATTGTTTCAAGGTTGATGACGGTAACGGACTTGCCATCACTAACTTGTTAACAACTTGCATGTTACGTGCAGAAATACGTGCAGACGATATCAGACTTGTTGGAACAACTTGTCCTGAGTCTGTTGGCCTCATCAACCTTGTTACAAGTCGATGATAACAACCTGTTCCCGACTTGTCAACAACTTGGAACCTCGCTTGGAACAGTCATTGCGAGCACGTATGTCGTGTTGACAAGCTGTGAACAATTGTGACTAGGCATGGGAGTTATCTGGACTATCTGAGATGGTGAATTAAATAGTAACGATTATATTTTCAAAATGGCATGCCATTTCGAAAGATTTGCCAACACTTCATAAATTCATTTGTAGTTTGGCCGCCTTTAATTTTGAGAGTTACAACATAATTTTATATATAACTGTTAATCACCCGTTATTAATCCTAATTTAAAATTAAATGGGAGGTCCTCGGCAAAACTAATCTTTAACTTTTGTTGTGTTAGTAAAGTAGCCCCAGGGTTGACTAGAAGTGTCTGTGTTTTGTATAAAAGAGAGTGATTTATAGTTTTGTATGAAATTTCCGTAGTGAAAATACGATGTCGTATCTATAGATGAAATAAAGTCACGCATTTATATTATTTGTTATGGCTTGTCTTCCTTGTTTTTCAAACGTTTCAGGAATTATAATGATTCATAACTCCTAATATAAATAGCACTGATAATGCTTGGCGAAAGATTTATTTCCCTAGCGATAGCTTTCGTTTTTGCACCGTAGCATGCATTGGAAGAAAGTAATTCCTTTAAACAGAAATATGGCTTGGAAAACAATGGCTCTTGATTCACCCACATTTGGGAAACGTACAGTGGCTAGCCGAAACATTGTCTTGTCCATTATGGAAAAAACGTGGCTAGAAAACAGTATTTTCTGCTGTTTGCCTGGAGATTTATTTCAAATTTCTCATAATTCCCAATAGACCTTTCCTCTTATGAGTGAAATTTTGATCTAGATATGCCTGGACAAAAATTTCATCACAGCTTGAAAGAGCATCACAAAATTAGTAATATTCCGAAGTTTCGTTGCGAAATGTTGTAAAATGTGGATAATATAGCCTTGCGAAGTTTGCCGTTTTTAGTCATTTTGCATTACAAACGGGAAATTGATAATCAGATGATCAAACTGATTATCAATTTCCCATTTGTAATGCAAAATGATTGAAAAACGGCAAACTTCGCAAGGCTATATTATCCGCATTTTACAACATTTCGCAACGAAACTTCGGAATATTACTAATCTAGTAAAAATTTCACTCAAAAGGGGAAAGGTCAACCTCGTACCCAGGGCTAGTCGCGAATTGAAGGCGGCTACGTCGCCGCCTTCAATTCGCGACTAGCCCTGGGTACGAGGTTGGGGAAAGGTCTGTTAATCTGAGAAATCTATAAATAACCGGTTCCAGCCAATCGGAAGCGAGCACTGAAGCGAGCAATCCGCTTGCGTTGACTTGTGGGTAATGGCGACCGAATTTTAATTTATGTCTATTTACGCTTTTGTTGTTGTGTTGTGGTGAGACATTTTAATTGTGAAAATTTGTTGTTTTTATCAAGAATAAACGGTGTAATTATGTATTAGTTTGAAATCCTGTCTTTCATGTTGTCGGGCACGAAATGTAGGAAGGATAGCCTTATTTTAAAGGGGTTTGCCGAAGCGATTTCGCTTGCAACACCGAACTATTTTGATTGGAAATGGACGGGCTTCGTTGTTACGGGCTACTACAAGATATTTCTAACATGGATTGTTTGTTCTCTACTGGAATTAAATTGAAGAAAAGATGATGACAAATCGTATGTTGCCTTTGGAAATGTGAGTTTTATAACATTCTATATGTCGATCTCAATCCTTGCCCTAGTAAACGTTTTATAATCCCGCACGATTTAATGGATTTTTACTGACGCAAAGCAAACATGTAAAAAATTAAGCCAAAAAGTTATTATAAAGTCGTGTGCATTTCATGATCGTCTATTCGAGTTATTTATGAACTAGTACGTACCAAAAAATCATGGCTTTATACTCTATTTGAATGGTACTACTTCACAGTCTTTACTACTTGAAGTAAAAAGCCAAATTTATATATGTGATTCGCTGAATATGCAACAGTATAAAAGCCAACATAATCCCAACTTTAATTCCATCGTATTATTATTAGTTCCGTGAGTTTAGATTGTTTGCAGATCTGTAGTACAGGTTTTTAAATTGTGTATATACGGACCTAGCTCTAGGACAAGTTAATACAATGAAGAATACAATAGTCCTCTTGAATTTGCTGTCACAATTTCTAAATTAGCTTTTGTTTGAAAATGTCTGGGGGGGGGCTGTTTAAGACCCATTTACACTATACAACTGGCTGTATACGATTTTCATCCTGCCGAATGTACTCTGTCACATTTCGAATTTTGCCATAAACTGATGAACCTGAATAGTGGTGTTGGCAGTCATTTTCGTACCCCAGAATCCCAGTTGTATACAAGTAGTTATAATGTGTAAATGGGCCTTCACATATAAGTGGAAGTATGGCTAGCCTAACGTGAAAATTTACCAGATCTTTGCCAGGATAATGTTGTTGTGTAACATTGTTGTGACAGTTGCTAACAATAGCACACAGTGCCATCTTGATGACCTTAATAGGTCAACCTGGCTGGTAACTGTGTTCTCATCTGTTTCAAGGGAGATCTCTGCAACCAGGCCAGTCAGGTTCTCCATATAAGCACAGCACTCTCCCCTTATCGAGTAAAATCATCTGGCATTAGGCAGAGTAAAATAATAAAGCAGGCACATGTACATGCTACTGTAACCCATTGAATGCCAGCGCTCTCCCCTTGATGAGTAAATTTGTCTGGCATTATACAGGTAAAATAATAAAATAAGGCACATGCAGGCATAATGCTACTCAATGGGTTAAGAATAACTACACAGTGACTTGCTGAGTCAAATGCTTGAATATATTTATGCACCTAGTCATTATTTTACAGCGAAATTTGAAATGTGAAATCTTTATGTATGTTGATATCATTAGAGTAGCCTACTGTATGTCATAGACCCAAGCTTAAAAATGAAAGGTGTTGTAGTAATAACTTGCGTTGTGATGGGCATTGCTGTCTTGAATGCATTTGTGATTATGAACACGAAGCTTTCATGAGTCTAGGATGTAGCTTACTGCATGATAGAATCAAATACATCATCAAAGAGATATAAGAGCCTTAAGTTTCATTGCTTATGGCAAAACTGGTCAATTTTATTTTCAGCCGAGGATTTTCGCGAGGCAATGGAGAGCTGTTACGACCACTTCCGGAGAAAGCTGAGGAGCCTTTGGCACTGTCATATGTTGAAACAGTCAAGGAGGCTCTTAGCAGTTTGTGTTTATCAGAGGATGATAGCAGTTGCTCTACTCCAGTGAACCAAACACATCGTACAGATATTTCAGTGAGCAGTTTGCCGTCTGAGTCAAGTCATGCTTGGTCAACAACAACTGGAACTTTAACTGGAAGAAGTAGTGTTTATTCTTGGGGGAATGATAACGTGAGTGCAACAGTTCGGTTAAAAATTTTGGTGATTTTCTTGTGTAAAAAATATATGTATTATTAACCCATTAAGCTGCAGAGCTTTCCCATTGACGAGTAAAATCGTGTGGCATTAGACAACTAAAAAAGATAAGTAGGGCGCACTGAGGCACATTGCGGCTCAATGGGTCAACTAGAGACACTGTCAGATTTTTTAATTGTCTGGTGTTAGACAAGTAAAAAAAAAAGTAGGGCGCACTGGAGCACATTGCGGCTCGATGTATTTAATATCCAAGTTTTGCCATGTAAACTAATTGTAAAGCAACAAGAAATGTGAAATATAAAACAACGGTAACTCTGAAAATAAAATTTGAATATTCTAGCTTTTGACTAAGATTCAGTCATCATTATTTCCTAATGTTGACTAAATCTTTTAGTCGAAAGCTAGAATTTATATTAAAATGTTTATGTTCAGAGTTACCATTGTTTTATATTCTATTAAAATACTCAGTGGTTCCCATAATTTTTCAGAAATGTAAGACATCCATTTGTTTCTGTTTAGGATTTTGATCGGAAGGCTGCAGCGTCTGTGCAAAGAATGTTTGAGGAGATTGAAAACGTGCTGTACGAGGGCAAGCATTTTGACGGTAAGTGTAAAATGAACAGAATTTTGAATAAATCAAATTCCTTTGAATGCGGTTCAGGAAAATGCTTTTCATTAACTTATTAACTTATTAAACAGTTAACTTGGTGCCAGTGTGGGTAGAGATGATAACAAAAATATGTGAAGGAATGGATATACTGTACAACTACAGTACCAAAAAATTTTTGAAACATCAAAGTACTACTTTGAAACTTATTTTTCACATAGTTGTGTATCCATCACACTGCAGCGTTTTATTACCTTACCTACTACTGTATATCAAATGGAAATTAAATTATGGAGGTTGGCAATTGCAATGCAAAATTATTAAAGTACTGTAATGTGATGTAATCAATGGCATAAACATGTTAATATCATTTTGTCAATTTTTTAGGAGGGCAGCCTTTGATGTCTGAATGTGAGGAGTGGTGTGGTCGATTTCCTCATTTGAGGTAGTGTTGTGTTCCTGTCATATTTAATAAGGGAATTGCCTTGGGTACCAGTATCAATACTTCACTAACGACCTTTGCTCAAAGCGTCAAAGTTTTACTTGTATTTGTCAGTTCAATCCTTCTCAATCTGCAGCTTTCTTTGTCAAAACTTGTACAAAATTATCTACTCATTTAAAGGTGATCTACAGTCCGTATGTAAACAAAGCCTTTGTTTACATTTTTGTGTCCAAAATATTGAGCTTTATTCGACAACTATTTATATTTTCAAGCTTCTAGAGTATAATAAATAATCAAGAAACAACAATCGGGCTTTTCAAGAACTCAAACATAGTTAAACTGTTTGTATCATAAAAAGTGGGCTCATTTGTGCACATGCGCAGATCGGACTGTAGATCACCTTTAAGTTTCAACATTTTTACTCTATCTAAAAATGCCAGATAATTTTTCTGGTCAAAGCGGAGGGTGCTGGCCTCAATGGGTTCAATATTGTACTGTACAAAAATGGCCTCAAATTTTGGATTCCAATGTTTATGAAAAAAATTCTTAACAATTCCTCAGGATCCGAGGTGTTCAGATCTTGCCACCAAGTGAGAGTGGAACAGAGTTTGTAGCTTTGGAAGATGATGATCCAAGAGTATATGATTACAGACCTAAGACGACTGTGGTTGATATGGAATCCGAGGATCTAGCAGGATATATGCAGGATTTTCATGGGTAAATAAACCTAAAGTAATGTTCAATATACTAGATAGCTCTATCAGCCCTAAACTGTTCTTCCTACAGTTGATGTCCAGGAAGATCAATCCTTTCTGATCCAGTATTACCATAGGGGGAAACGTAAACTATACAGTACTAACTTTATTTGTTCTGGATAGATCTGTTCTCTCTTGAGATCCAGTAATTCAAATCTTTTACAGTTTTGCTTGTCAAGGGAAGAGTGCCATCAATCATTGGGTTAACAAATGCCATTATTTTCTAGACTTGCAATACGGGGCAATCGTGTTGAACCAGCATTGAGGGAGAGTGAGTTTTCACCGACAGGTAAATAAGTATTGTTTGAATTTTATCAAAGATATACAATATAAGATAAAAATGATAGTAATTAAAATTGAATAATCAGGTTGGCCTTATATCTTTGAAATTGTTCACCAGTGAGAAACATTGTATTGTAGCCAATAATTTAGATAGTAGTGATTTTTTGAGTTCCTATTTGCACTGAATGTTAAGAGGGTAATGTTGAAAGTAGCATTAAAAGTCAAAAGGGTGATATACTAAACCAGTTTTATTATGAATTTTTCAAATTTAGAATTTGAGGAAGAAATTTTTGCTGAAGATGGTTTTGTTGAGGAGTATTTGGCATATGACAGCTCAACAAGGTAGGAAAATGTCTTGCATACTAGTGAGTTTCAGTCTCAGAACTGTTATATACATTGATTCTATACATATGCTGTATGTATGAACAAGCAAATTAAATTTCAAGGGCCTAGGTCCAAGTTGAAACCCCCTATAAATTGATGTTTATCATCTGATAAATATGAGATATATAATGATCTTTCTTGGATCTATTGTGTTGCAGTTCTGAGGATTTTAAAAGGAAGGGTGCAGCAAACAACCGTCAACACATGGGATATCCGCCAGTCACTCCTAATGCTGTTGCCACAGATACAATCCTTAGTCAAATATTTGATCAACTGTGGGGAGAGGTGGGTTTAATAGAGGCATATTTTGGTTCTACAGTATTCAAAGTAGACATTGATTCTCTGTCGTCATTTACAACATGTTGCACAGATATTATCGGCTATCGCAGAAAGTTAAAACTGACGTTTATTCATCTTTCTCTAGCATAACTGAGGCTATAGGTGTAGAGTGAAGATTGGAAAACTCAAGTCTGTTTTTATGCTTAAAAAGAATTTAATATTTTCATAGATTATACTTTGGCTAAGAAATCTGTTGAATCTCTACATGAAAAATATTTTACTAGGTAGGTTTTACAGTTTTATTTTTTCCAGGAGTCAAACTGGACGCACTCTTCTTTCATGTGGACTGAGGTGAAATTATAATCTGACAAACGAAACCGAACCTCCGTCACAGATACTGAAAAGCATATGCATTGTACCACAAACTTCTAATTTAATTAGGTTCTCACACACTTAATGTAACATAGGGGGTCTATCTGAGAAGCAGCCGTTCATGCCAGAGTTGCTGAAAGAAGTTGAAAGTATAGATTCAAGACCAGTGTCTAGGGATCCTTTTGCTCACACTTATCAAGTAAGTAAAAGCTCCATTTTACTGTAGCATACCACCATTGATGTAAAATGAATAACGGAAAAAAGAATACTCGTGCTGCACACTTGCATTTTAAATGTGATAAAACACTCATACACATGTTTTAAATAGTACTTAAAATTACATTTCTTTTTTAAGGTTCGACTAAGATCTGGTATTAAACCCTCGGATGTGAATGGACTGAATGACCTAATCACAATACGATCACTGCCTCTGAAACAGAGAACAGCTATTTAGTAAGTCGACAAATATTACCATTCATTTGCATAGATATTTGATATTAAACCAAAATAAAATAAACATTTAGTAGCTCTGTCAGTTCTGCCTCTTGAGCTATTCTCTATAGATTTCTATGGAGGTACATGTAGCTCCAATCACTGGCACTTTCCTCGGTTTTCTCACCAAGGCAAATGCTGCTCAAGATCAGGAGATCTCACAAAACCACATCCGGGTAGCAGGAGGGTGCAGACCCAGAGGGAAAGTTGCCATGTTTGCTAGAGTCTAATCGGAAGCAGTCGTCTTGTATGATTCAGCCATCCACACATGCTGAAAAGATGGAAAATATACAATACTGTAGCTCAACCAGCTTACAATAAATAGAAAGCTATTCAATATTCTAAAGTGTTTCTGTTTTAATTTATTTTTACAGTAGTGAAAGCCGAGAAGGGACACCAGTTTGTCAGGTATTAAATTTATTTAAGTATCGAAATCCTTTCTAAAATGGTTAACAAACAGTAGAACCTTTAATTTTATTGAATGTTTTCCCACTAGACTCGGCCGGGTTCCAGCAGTGCTATAATGTCTCGAAATTCCATGGGCAGAATATTGAGCTGGAGAAATTCTGATCACCACATTAACCCTAGAATGTCTTCAGCCAGAACACTTAAAAGGTATTTTTTACAATTTATATTGCCGAATCTTTTTAGGCGTCCATGGTTTGTCTCTGAACATATATTTTGGAGCATTTTAAACCACAACCTTTTTTAAAAAAAATGACAGAATCGTGTTGAAAAACAATTCATTTGCTGGCAATCAACATGCTGTGTTTTTAAAATTCTGTTTAGAAACCCATCGTTGCGACTTCAGCCTATTGATCGATCAAAAACCCCTGCATTTCAGGTAAGTGTTGGTGATGAGGGAGAAAAAGAAGGATGGCATGCCTGTAGATTTTATTTTTGTGGATGTAGGCAATGCTCAAATGTGGCTTAGTCTATGTCGGTGGAGAAGCTAGCCACAAAAAGAGGTCTTGCTATGCAAATTTTTAATGATTTGCATTATTCAAACGTTAGAAATGTTTGGTCTTTAACCTACTTAGATGCAGATTTATTGGCATAGTATGAACAGCCATACCATGGCTGGCTGCCCCACTGGTATATGCCATTAACTTCAGTCTAAAGCCCTGTTTAAACGGATCCAACATTGTTGGGCCAACATCATCCAACATTGTTGAAATAATGGTCCAAACGGCTTCTTTTTCAAATATTTTTGTTAAGACTAGGTTTAGAGTTTGAGTAAAGCTTATCTAACCAAAAAGATATGAAAGAGAAGCAGTCACATCTATTATAGTAACATTGTTGGATGATGTTGTTCCAACCATGTTGGATCCGTTTAAAACAGGCCTTAAGATACCTAGGCTGCACATGATTTTTTGAAGTTGTTAGCCAGTAACTGTAGGTTTTGAAAGGTAGCTCACAAGGTTTTTGTAGTTGGACTGTCACTCTTGGATTCTTAATTCAACTAAGTTTTGCATTTGGAGTTGGCCCTTTACGGAGGTAGCGTCACTCAATGGCTCCCTAACATCTGCATCCATTGAATGGATGGATCAAAGAAGGCCGGGCTAGAGCAACGAATGAAAAAACGAAGGAATGAAGGACGAAGGTTGGATTCATGGAAGGAGACAGAGAGGAAGAAAAGAACGAAAGAAAGAAGGAGGAATGGATAGGTGGAATTGAGGGGGAAAGGAAGTTTAGTTAGTAAGAAAGGAAAGAATGGAGGAAGTACGACAAGGCGAACAGAAGGAAGATAAAGTAATATTTTATTATTTGTTGCCACCAGGAAAGTGACGTAATTGGTGAAGGTGTTCGCGGAACCAAACTGTAAGTACACTCTACACATTCGATTAATTTCAAAGAATATTATAATTTGCTATGCTTTATATTTCATCTCTATACAAAAGTGCCTTAATATTTTTACAAACATCTGTACAGAAGTTTTGATTAATTTATTTACATAGTTCTTTAGGTGTATTTATTTAAAGTTCTTACTAGTTTTTTTTTTTAAATTTTTAGTGTTCCTGGAAGTGAACCTTCTCCAAACCCAACCTCAACATCACCCCAACTTTGGGGTGCACGAAATGGCACTTTGCCACCGATTGATAAATCAGAATATTTGGAAACTCGGCCACGTGGAAGCGCTGTAAGTCTTAGAAAGATATCTAATTAGATCTCTGTACACTTGTGCTGACTGCCTTTCTGGACGACTTTCAAATTCTATCCAAACTTTCTGACAATAAATTCCGTTCAAAATTTCCATTTGCAAAAACTCTTCAACTATTCTGTTGATCGAGTTTATTTATTTGAATTCGGATTTTGATTTATTAAAACCCCAGGATTAAATCCCAAAGGTATAAATTTCTTTAAATTACATTAGCTTTGTATAATCCTGGAGTTTTAAGAGAATTCTGAATTTGAAATTCTGAACAAAAGATGGAAGGTTTGTGAGAAAAATTAAATTGATGTATTTTATTTTAGAAAACAAAAGTTCAGTTTAATTTACGAGCAGCGAGTGCTGCAACCGACGACTCACGGTATTATAATGTTCAATTCGTCGTTTTAATTGCTTTGTTCATGTTATTCCATGATCAATGATGTTTTGGTTTTGAATTTTGTATAGAAAATCTCTCAAAGAAAAAGGGACATCGCTAATAGACTCCAGACCGAATACAACACATTCATTCCGAGTAAGTTGCCTATGGCCTGAAGCAATCTTAGTCGTCCTTGTCCTGTAGATTTCATTTTTCCTGAGGTAGCCAATCTTACAGTTAACCTAGGCTGCATATTTGTACAAAAGTAGATTGGACTCCATAATTTACCAGCTTCTGGAGTCGTGAATATGGCTTGAGTAGCCGTTAAGTTGATTTTTATTTTGTCACATTAGGGCCATTTATACGTGACAAAATAAGTCGCGACTTACATAAGACGCGACTTAAATAAGTGGAGTTATCGCATAAATGGTTCTCTACGGCTTTGGTCTTATTTATTTGCTATAGCTATAATGTTGTTGTTGTTTTTGTTTTAATGTGCAAGGCATTAAATTTTACGTTGTTTCAAGTTTCTGGCATGTGTAGTTAGACTTTTTGTCCAAAATTTCTTATTTAAGACGCGACTTAAATAAGAACAGCTAAAAGACCTGTTCTTATGTAAGACGCGTCTTATCCAAGACGCGTCTTACATAAGAATTTTGTACCTTTTATACGACAAACTCGCGTCTTACTTAAGTCGCGTCTTATGTAAGTCGCGTCTTATTTTGTTCCGTATAAATGGCCCTATTGTGCCAGTATGCTCATAAACTTTAGAAGGCTTAACTGTGCCAATTTATGTACTTTTGCAGCCACCAGAAAGCTCGCCAACCCGCAGACATTCCACACCAATGGGTACGGTCAGCGGTCCTACCAGTCAACTTCGCCCTGCGGGCTCATTCGGGTACAGCGGTCAAAGCATGGTCACGGGGATAACTGGGGTTAGCATGCCTATATCCAACTATCATCCCTCAACTGAACATGGTATCCAAGGTCATCAACAGTTGTACTATCACATGGAAGACAGCTCCTTGGCTGAAGAGACAGACGATTTCGATGAAACACTTCATTGGGGTTAGTTAGTTATACTGGATAGATAGGATGAAGTCTTCCAGGGTTACTACTGGAGGAAACCTAAATTAAAATTACTTTATTTACACTGGATGAGTCTATCAGTTCTTAATTGTTTTCCCTAGAGATTCAGTAAGGGTCATCTATTGTTGATCCAGTGTTACTGCAGGAGGAAACCTAAACTGTGAACTAACTTTATTTATACACTCACTATTTGTTGATATACCAACATCTATTTTTATTAGGTTATTATCAGCCACCCAGCACAAGTAACGCCCGAAAAGGACGTCATTACAGTTCAATAAGGTAACACATAGAGAAAGTCTCTCCTTTCTACCTAAAACTAATCAATGGTCAATTTCATGGACGAACGTTTGTCCACGCTACACCAAGTACCCACGAAAATAACGCCCGCGGTATCGGTGGTTAAACAATACGGTGGTATTACATCAAGTATGTTCGCCGATATTACCCGCTGACAACATCAATGGCGTTTCTAGTGAGAAAAATTACTGAAAATGGAAAAATGTAATCGGTCTGACGATGCTAATGCGGGCATCAGTAGTCTGCGACAATGCTCCAGTGTTACACCAAATGTCTATACAATAGAGTACGCTGACCAAGCTAAGGCGGGCGTTAATCGTATGAAACAATCCTTCAGTATTACACAAAGTTCTGGGAAAATGGATCCCGTTGAGCAAGACAATGCGTGCATCAATTATCTGAATATCTGCACATAAGTTCTGGGAAGCGTTCGTGTAGTAATCTGAAAGAAAGATGACTTAAAACTAATATTATATGCCTTAGGAAGACGAATATTACACCAAGTAGCGGTGCATTCCTACCCAATGACCAGCCTAACGCAGGCTACGGTCATTTGGAGTCCGATAAAACTATAAAAGACATATACATTTGTATAAAAATCTTAAAAGTGTGCGTTAATCGAGGAGATAGTCTAACAAGAAATATTAGCGACCTTTAGAGGACTACAGAAGATATTTTAAAGACTAAAGGTGGAGTAATACGAGTAACAAAATCGGTGCAAATTTGCAACAAAAACTGATTTCAATGCATGTTAATTAAAAATGTTCACAGATAAATAACCAAACATGAGACGACATTTGTAAACATCTCAAACTAACAGGCATTGGAATTTTGTTGCAAATGGAAGCAATTTTGTTACTTCTATCACATTGCCTTAAACATTGTTATAGTGGCCTTGAATACAAAGAAATACAACATAAAATTAAGTTTGACAGCAAACAAAAATGCGTCAACAGATCCGCCATTATGAAGCTATAATGACAATTTATATTTATGAGAGCCCACGATGTGTTTGCGCTTATTTTAAGTTGGATTCCAGAAGGTTGTATCCATAGAAAAATATCATATGAAACAATATCATATTTTGAACCAATGTACATATGTATAATCATATAGACGCAAAATAGGCATGTAATTAAAATTCATAGTTTTTATTTATAAAAAAAATTGGTTTGCGCACAATTTCAGCGAAACGCTTTATATATTGTTTATATATATGTATACAGTTCTATAGTGTGTAGTGCTAAATATAGACAAATTCGTAACTTTGACAGCGGCACTTCACATCCGCATTTCTGCGTTGGAATAAATTAGCCTTTCTCGCGATGACGAATATCCGCCATTTTTGGGTGGCATCTAATTCTCGTTAACCAATGCAGACAATTAAAACAATGTGAAAAGCAATTTTTCAAAATAAACTAACCATTTACAAAGCAAATTTACCATCATTTGTCAAAAAATTATAAAAAGTCACTGTTATGTGGACCACTTCGGCTGAAATGCCACCCAAACATGGCGGCGTGAGAAAGGCTGATTGCAGTTGATTCATAACACGTATGCAGCTCAGATTGGAAGCATTAAATATAGCCACCTGCATATCAAAGTATTCAACTGTTCAATCAATGCCAACGTTAGACGTTTCTCTTGCGGACAGGTGGAATAATACTTCAGGTATTCCTCATATATCCTTCATTTAGCCTGATTTGGCCTGATTTCGAACAAATCCGTCGAGGTCTTTCGGTGGATTCAGCATGTGTGCAGCTATTCAAGGGATCTGCCGTTATTTTTCCAAGAAATCTATCCAGTAAATAACATTAAATATTATAAATGCTACCGGAAACAACACTCGAGAAATCATGTCAATAACATTGTCATGTGTGACGATTTTATGTATTGGGGAAGCGCGGTTCCGGAGGCTTGAGGGGAGTTTTGTTTGCCCCCTCGGTTTGACAACGTGACTGTAAAGTAGCGAGGAGGACCTGGCCGAATCCGCCCGCGTTAATTTTGGTCTGTTCTGGCCGTTTAAAGAAGCATGCCCATTGCATTCATAGCGTGGCGGTGGCTTTTCTTGGAAGGAAATGAGTTTCCCGCTCTGGTTGACTTGAATTGTTAATGGAGGTTTTTCGTCTTCCTGCAAGAGAATGATAAAATTTTGATGAAACAAGTATGATAAGGTATGGAAATCTAACAAAATGATTTGAATGAAAGTCATGCAGAAGAAGATGTGAAGAGATCGGAAGAAGATGTGACTTGGTAGACATTGCAGAGAAGGTGAGGGAAGCAAAGCTGAGAAGGTATGGACATGTAATAAGAAGAGATGAAGGAAAGCTGGCCAGAGACATTATGGAATGAAGAGATCAGAAGATGTGTGGTAGTTAGACATTGCAGAGAAGGTGAGAGAAGCAAGGTTGAGATGATATGGTCATGTAATAACAAGAGATGAAGGAAAGCTGGCCAGAGACATGGAATAAAGAGATCAGAAGAAGATGTGTGGTGGTAGATATTGCAGAGAAGGTGGGAGAAGCAAGGTTGAGATGGTATGGACGTGTAATAAGAAGATATGAAGGAGAGCTAGTCAGAGACATTATGGAATGAAGAGATCAGAAGATGTGTGGTGGTAGACATTGCAGATAAGGTGGGAGAAGCAAGGTTGAGATGGTATGGACATGTAACAAAAAGAGATGAATGAGAGCCAGTCAGAGACATTATAGAATGAAGAGATCAGAAGATGTGTGGTGGTAGACATCGCAGAGAAGGCGAGGGAAGCGAGGCTGTAATGGTATGGATACGTAATAAGAATATACATAACTTACAGATAAATTATCCGAAAGTCGGTTTTGATTTTTCCGATCATTTGAAGCTCTTCTACTCTGTGAAAACCTGATTGCAACGACGTACTCCAAACTTGTGAGAAAAATAAACCCGAAACAAACCAACACAAAGTTGTCGATCGATTTAAGATACGTCACCCTTGGTAAATTATTGTTCACACTGGCCAGCATATATACCATAGTTAGAACGGTGGTTATACCAAGGCCTGTTCTGGCTGGTACCGCTTTGTGGTCAATCCAGAATCCAATCCAGGATAGCACTGTGATACAGATACATGGTACATAAACTTGGTAGACATAGTAGATCCATCGTCTTTGGAATGTAAACGTTACTGTCAGGCCAGAAAATTGAGCTGAAAAAGAGATGGACATGGTTTTTTTCAGGATTTTTTCCTTGGTCCTTTTTCGCAGAGACATTGGGAGCTTAAGCAAACTACGTTTTTGTCAACACGGACGTCAGATTGGCGAGGGGGACTGGATTAAAAGTTGTGTTTGTGCCAGTTTGTGGTAATCTTCAACACATATGACAAAAGCTAAGATTTTAAAGTTTTTTGCTTCCTTGCACAAGCGCTATGCAGCAAAATGCCGCCAAAATTAGTTATACTAATTTTCGGATGACGTCCTGTTGACAAAAACGTCGCTTGTTTAAGCTCACTATTGAGTTTACGTAAACAGCTGGGGATTTGGGGCGATTGTACCTCCGTGTAGACTCCATTGAACTATAAATAAACTGGAAGGCTAACTCAGGGGAGGGGATTGAAGCCAGTGCATTTTAGTTTTTCTGAGTTATGAGCAGAAATACTCAACACTGAACGTTGGGCTGTATATCAAATTGAAGCTATTGAAAAACGCTATTTGGTGTAGAAATTTCAAGACTTTAGCTAAAAGGGAGACATTGAAAAACTACAAACATAATTACCGATAATTTGCCGTTTTGTAGTTGTTTTTGTATTTTTTAAATATTTTTCTTTTCGCTGAAGTCTTGAAATTTCCACACCGAATAGCAATTTTCAATAGCTTCAATTTGATATATAGCCCGACGTTTGGGGTCAAGTATTTCCGCTCATAACTCAGAAAAACTATTTTGGCTTCATCAAATCATAAGCCTTCATCATAGCAGTTAGCCTTCCAGTTTATTTATAGTTCAATGGTAGACTCTGGAAGCTTCACGAATTCAATAAATTATTGTAGAATAACGGTAAGCGCTCACTTTTATTGATTTCTTTTTATTAAAAGTGTTAACATAACATTTTATTTTGCAAAAGTTTGTTTTTTTCCCCTATCTACTCCTTATTGAAATCGTGAAAAGCACTGGCTGGAGTTTCAGATACTCATATATAAAACAACAAAGCAGCGAATGATATAAATTCCTCAAAATATAACTCTTGCATAAAAAATAGAATTTGCATAAAATATATATATATATATATATATATATATATATATATATATATATATATATATATATATATATTAAAAAACTCATTAATAATTCAGGAGCAAAACACAAAGAAAAATCATAAGCGTGTCGTGGTTATATATGTGATATAAAATCATGTTAATTTACATAAACTTTAGCTTTGATTTTCTCGGTTTAGACAAAGTTTATTTTAAAAATTACTTCGCCAATGAACTCGTATAAGCTGAGTCGTTTTTAAGCCATTTAAAGCACTTGTAGTCGTGTTTTATCACATATAAAACACTCCGCTACGCCTCGTGTTTTATATGTGATAAAACAATCCTGCGCGTGCTTTATATATATATATATATATATATATATATATATATATATATATATATATATATATATATATATATATATATATATATATATATATATATATATATATTTAGACGCGCAGCTAGAATTTTACCCGGACTTAATACAGTCTGTATACACAGGCTAAGGTGAACAGACTCTCAACGTACGTGAATGATATTTTGGGTGTTTCAGATGTCTTTCTGTTTTCGTTATGGTAAACTGAGCCATCTCTCCATCAAAGATAAAAATTGTCTTATTGGTTCGCCACTTGTATATGAGTTCAAATTCCTCGTACGTATCTATAATTAAGCAAAACAAATGTTTTACGGCATGCCTGTACATTTTATTTTTGTTGAGGTAGCCTCGCTTCCTGCCAGAGAGCCTATGTATGTGGCTGTATTTTTCGCAGCTGCACACGTAAAAATCTCACAACTTAATTGTCAGCAAGATGTGCTCGCAACAGGCTTGTGGCCACCTTGTCAACAAGTTGTAACAATGTTGTTGCTTTATCAAGTTGCTACAAGTTTGTCACTTGCGATTTGTTATCAAGTTGTTGAATTGTTGGAACAAGGGAACAAGCATGTTCGAATACATGCATCCTGTTGACAAGTTGTTGCAACAGCATTGCTACAAGTCTGCTGCAGGTTTGTTACAATTAACTTGTGTGTTTTTTCGGCCGCCTCTGCCCACTGGTTTTGAATTAGAACAGGAAGAAAAAAGGTAACATATGTCTGTCAACAAAAAATCTACTTACAGCTTTCAAATGGTAGACTGCATTCTTGTGTGTCTTTTGGGTAGTTTCTTAAATTCAATTTGCAAGATGATGTCACCCTAAGCCTTGAAAAGAAAAGAACAAAGTCAAAGTGAAGAAAATTTAAATGTTCCAGACAAACAACATGCTTTTCTTGTTGAAACTGTCGGATGAAACTTTCGTATGAAACTCGTTATCGAGATGTAGCTAAAAGACCGTTAAAGGAAAGGACAAAGTGCTTTACCTGTTCATCAGATATAATACAAGTGTATTTTGACTTTTGTTTGGCATGCAAAACAATTACGTTTCATATCAAACTACAAACATTTTATGAGCAAAGCAAAAAGCTGATTTCGGGGAAGAAACGCAATAGAGAGTTTAAGCTTCGCGTTTATACCACAGAAAAGAAAATAGACTATGGAGAATTTTCTATTCTGTGTTTATACGTCAAACAGACTCAAACTTATCAAACGGCAAACGCCACTCGCCAAGCAATGAAAAAGTTTACGGTATCAGGCAATAAAGAGTAAATGAACTTGCTGTTTTTAAACTGCAATGCATAATTATTCTTTCAACACAAGAAAGAAAATATGAAACGAAAACGTTCAACGAAAATTTTTCCAAAATTCGAACCTGCCGTTGGCTGGAGGTTAGCACTATTTTCCATCCAGCAAACCGCCCTATCGATTTTCTAAAGTCATTTCTTTTTGGATTGTTTTATTACTAATTCGGTTAGGGTTAGAGTAGGGGTAGGGTTTGGGTTAGTTACATAGCCATTTAACACATCTTCCGAAAATGACGTCAGGTCAGTTTGCTGGATGGAAAATAGCGCTAACTCGGAAACGTGAAGCTTATAAACTCCCAGGCTTGCCCGATTTTAGGGACCGCCTGCCATGCAGGCTACCAAATTCATAGGAATTTCAAATTTCCCCCTTCTTGTTTACATGTAATTTGTTACATATTATTTACATTACATAAAGTATACTACATTTCGGCGGTGTTCAAATTCATGTTTTCAAATTTGTGGATGTTGTCGAAATTTATATATTTGGTAATTTGGGCTGTTATTTAACTTGAGTACAGTGCTTTAGCCGAAATGTTTGTTTGTTTATTAAAGTTTACGTATCGTGAAAAATTCTTAGAAACGATGTTAAGTTTGGAGAATGTCAGAATGGTTTATCAACAAAAAATTGGAGGTTATATTTTCACGATGCATTTGCTTCGAAAGTATGGTCAAAAAGCTGTTGCTACTAGCTTTCGGATGAATGTATTTGTGGCCGAACTCATCACAAAGAAACGAAATTTTAGTCTATTTAAGGTAATTAGTGATTTACACAAGTATTTTTTCGACAAGTTTGTCTCAAATGTGGTTGTCCAATGTTAGATAGTATTCTACAATAAGTTGCGGAGTTGCCGTGGTTTGTGTGCTGATGGATTTGTGACATTTGTCTTAATATTGTGAGTACTATACCCACACGGGCGGTCCACGTTTGAGATATGTTTGTAGGAGTCCAGACTTGAACCAAGGCAGCTTATTGTAGATATACTACCTACACTGGACCTCCTAGAGCTTTTGTTAGATACCTTGATGTGTGCATTGTAAAACCATCTGTTAAATTCATAAAAATCTTTTGGTTCTGTTTAATCAGTTTGTGAACTCGAGTTTGGACAGCATTTATAACAAAGGTATCAGGTGTCCAGATCTCGTTAACAAACTCGTCACCCATCGTGTAGTTTTTGTTGATACCAAATGCAAAGCGATGGTCACGCCAGAACTGACCAAGATAAAAATCAACTACATATTCCTAGAAATTTATAAATATAAACATAAAAATAAATAAATTTGTTTAAGTAATTATGCTAGAATCTGGCATGTTTAATTAAGTTAAGAGAGTTCGATCAGTGGCATATCAGTACAATCTACAGACATGTATGTTTCGGCGTTCTATGTATGCCTCGTCAGTGCAGCTTGGTACACGTCTAGATATGTGATTACCCTTGTATTGATATCGGTTGGTATGTCAGTCAGTCCATAAGTCAGTCACTTCTGTTGGTCAGCCAATAGGTGAAGTAGTCGGTCATTGGATGTTCAATTATAGGCCATTCTACCAGGTAGGCGCTCATTTACTTCTCAGTAATGGTCAGTTTGTCCATCAGTCAGTTGGTGGGACAGTTTGTCGGCTGGTTAGACGGTCCATTATCCAAAATGTGAATACTAGACTTTCTGGGTGGATACCAGATTTGATGTTACTATTATTGCATTGAATAGTGCTGAAAATTTTGAATTTCAAGCTCTGTTTTAGGTACTCCAGTTGGCTGGTTGGTTATGTTATGTTATGTCATGTTGGTTATGTTAGGAATTTAGCCAGCCTCTCCCCTTGATGAGTTTATAAAATCGTTGTTGGACAGAGTGAATATAATAAAGGGTTAACAAGACACTCACAGTTTAATGGATTAACGAGACATGTACTGGTACAGTGGTAGACAGTTTGGTTAATTCAGGCCGGGTTATGGTACGAAAAATTTAGAACTGCCCATTTCGACAAGAGCAGACTGTGAGGTAGTGAATTTAGAGTAACTGTGTTGCATGCAGAAATTAGAAACGAGGTCATGGTATATTGGATACCTGAATAGCTAGGAAGTCCATGCACCCCTGGAAAATTTTCCTTTTTTGAAGTCCAGAATGGCCACTTCCTGCGTTTTTAGAATGACATTTGGTTTTGTCTTTGCCATAAATATCTGTATGGGTCAATAATTTACAAAAAAAAATTCATATAAAGCTCGAAAACTCAATTTTAGAACTACCCATTTTAAGTTTAGAACTATACTCATTTTGGAAAATGGGAGGCATTGGGATGAACCCTGGGTTAATGGACCATTCCCCCAATTAACCAAAATTTTGATCTCAACAAGTCTAGACAAAATTCGCATCACAAAATTAGTAATAATCCAAAGTTTCGTTGCAAAATGTTGTAAGATACGGATAATATAGCCTTGCGAAGTTTGTAATTTTCAGTCATTTTAGATTGCGCATAGAAGTGGTAACCATTTCCCGTTTGTAATCTAAAATGACTGAAAATTGCAAACTTCGCAAGGCTATATTATCCACATTTTACAACATTTTGCAACGAAACTTTGGAAGTTTTGTTGCAAAATCTTGTAAAATGCGGATAATATAGCCTTGCGAAGTTTGCCGTTTTTCAGTCATTTTGTAGTACAAACGGGAAATTGACATACGATTCGGGTGTTGGGGCTGCAATTTCCCGTTTGTAATGCAAAATGACTGAAAATTGCAAATTTCCCAAGGCTCTATTTTGCTCATTTTACAACATTTCGCAACGAAACTTTGGAATATTACTAATTTTGTGATGCTCTTTCAAGCTGTGATGAAATATTTGTCTAGACTTGAGTTCAAAATTTTTGTTAATTGGGGAATGGTTAATTGGAGGTACAGTACAATTTTACAATATTTACCATGGTTGCCTCTTTTATTTCACCAAACGCGATGATCAGAACATCTAGTTCGACAACCAATGGCTTCACTGTAAGTGGAGAGAAATAAATTATATCTGATAGTCGTACGGGACCACGGGCGGGAAAAATTAGGAGGCTTGTGCGTAAACCACGGATCTTTGTTTTATGGGAAAATGTATTAATACGTCTCGGCAATGAATAACGTTTCGCCCACCTCCGTAAAACGGTCGTATTTTTCTGTCATAATTCTTCAAAATATGTTTCAATAATTTTGTCAGTTTCTTTCCTGGTCGAGCGTCGGAACTCGTCGTATCATTTTTGTCATTTTCAAATATCTTCATTAGTTCGTGCTCTCTAAAATGTTAAAGATACAAGATGATAGATTAAGAGGCAATTTTTTTCGATGTCACTTATTTGCAATGACAAGTGTTCAAAACCTAAAATCTTTTTGGCGCCCCTCTCAAAATTACTTTGTTTTAGCTTTATTCTCTAGTTTATAGAGTTCGCTACCTTTTTAAATGTATCTGCCCGTTGAGAAACATAAAATAATAGTTAAAAATTGTCAATTAAAATACAATTATCAAAGATGCTTTAAAAATGACGCCATTATATTTAAAGCCATATAAGCAAAACTTACTGAACTTCATGCAGACATCATTTTCTCTGTGGCGTATCATCTGAAATCTCTTCATTATTTTACAGGTAAAGTACTAAACATACTTTTTAAGTTTGTCTGCCGATTGAGAAACGTATCGAAAAATAAAAATTTTGAATTTAGTCATAACTCAAGTGATATATTATACGCATTAATTTTGAGCGTGTGTTACGTGACATACCAAAAAATCTTCTCTTAATATACATGTATTCAATAATGATATTTCTTTACGCATTGATACTTGCGAGGATTTGCGCAATTTATACAGCAAACGTACTGTTTTGTATCATGAGCAGCGTACGCCGTGTTTGACTTCAATAGACTTTTGTAACTTTATTTTATTTCTATCAAATGTTCCTCGTAATATGTGTATGTGATGGTGTTATCTCTCAAATAGGTGCAACAATCTTTTTTAAATCATGTTGGCTGGTTTACAAGTAAAATGACGTGTTTGGAAGAGGTTAACACTGTCACAACACACTTTGATCAAGGAAACTTCGATAGTCTAAACCAGCCTTAAGTCTTTGAAAGAAGTTAATGAACACTGTCACACACTTTGATCAAAAAAACTTTTATAGTGTAAACCAGCCTTTATTCTTTGAAAGAGATTTACACTGTCACAGACTTTGATCACAGAAACTTCGATAGTCTAAATCAGTCTTACGTCTTTGAAAGAGGTTAAACACTGTCACACACTTTGATCAAAAAAACTTTTATAGTCTAAACCAGCCTTTATTCTTTGAAAGAGATTTACACTGTCACACACTTTGATCACAGAAACTTCGATAGTCTAAATCAGTCTTATAAGTCTTTGAAAGAAGTTAAACACTGTCACACACTTTGATCAAAAAAACTTTTATAGTCTAAACTAAGCCTTTATTCTTTTGAAAGAGATTTACACTGTCACAGACTTTGATCACAGAAACTTCTATAGTCTAAATCAGTCTTATAAGTCTTTGAAAGAAGTTAAACACTGTCACACACTTTGATCAAAAAAACTTTTATAGTCTAAACCAGCCTTTATGCTTTGAAAGAGATTTACACTGTCACAGACTTTGATCACAGAAACTTCGATAGTCTAAATCAGTCTTATAAGTCTTTGAAAGAAGTTAAACACTGTCACACACTTTGATCAAAAAAACTTTTATAGTCTAAACCAGCCTTTATGCTTTGAAAGAGATTTACACTGTCACACACTTTGATCACAGAAACTTCGATAGTCTAAATCAGTCTTATAAGTCTTTGAAAGAGGTTAAACACTGTCACACACTTTGATAAAAAAAACTTTTATAGTCTAAACCAGCCTTTATGCTATGAAAGAGATTTACACTGCATGTCACACACTTTGATCACAGAAACTTCGATAGTCTAAATCAGTCTTAAGTCTTTGAAAGAGGTTAAACACTGTCACACACTTTGATCAAAAAACTTTTATAGTCTAAACCAAGCCTTTATTCTTTGAAACAGATTTACACTGTCACAGACTTTGATTACAGAAACTTCGATAGTCTAAATCAGTCTTAAGTCTTTGAAAGAGGTTAACACTGTCACACACCTTGATAAATTAAAATAAAATAAAACTAAACTGGCGCAAACTATTTTTATGACGTATACCTTGTATCTTCTTTCGCGTTCGTTTGAGAAATGCAGATTAGCAATGTGAAAAAAGCCAGATAATTTAGCTCCCTTCCCATTTTATTTATGTCAACCTGTACAAAAAATAGAGATGATATATATTAAAACCCTGATCTCAAAGCATTTTGAATGAACTGCAGCAAGAATTATATCCATGAAGATTATATATGCATTAATATACATTGAATTCAATGCCAACGTCATGAACAAAGTGGTTCCATTCATTCATTTGTTGTTGCTCGTGAGACGAAGAATTGGCGTGAGGAATGCACCAATATAATCATGCAACGGTAATTTTTGCATTCTTCTCTAACACACCTCTCATGGGCACCCAAATTTCGGATAATTTTTTTTTGCTGATATTTTGCCAAACATTTCTATCATGGCGTCAAAATTATGGATCGTGTCATGGCCATATAGCAGGGTTGGGATAATTCACGATTTGGTTTGGTTGGATCCTGGGGCATGCTCCCTCTGGAAATTGTGAAATATAGACTCGCTGAAATGGCACTTCTGCATGAGGAAGATTTGACACGCAGAAATCTCGATTTAACCTTCTGCAACAAGCCAACAACTGTTTCAAATTATGCATGAATATTTCATTATAGTAAACCTTATCTTTGGAGGGACTTAGCCCCCTCTTAGCCCCCTTTACAAAAGACTGCTGTTTGTCCAATATGCGTGATGACTTATCATGCATATAATCTGCTGGTTGTTAGGCAATAACAATCTTGGTTATAACGTCTATAACATTTCCAATACTGTAAAAAACTGCAACACTGCACGAACCTTGAGTAAAATAATGCATTAATTCACATGGTGACTCAAAAGATTCGGTAAAATTACTCAATTTGCTGCAGAATTTAAGGTTAATAAAAATGTCTGATCATGCAGTTGAACGAAAAATAGTTACACAATAATTCCTCATCAGAATTTAATAATCATGCAAGGACAAGTCAACATGCATATATTGCTATTTGAATTAAGCGATATTTTACTGAAATATATTTTTTCATTCAACGAACGTCAGTTGGAATCGCAAGCATTTGAAAACCATTAATATTTTCTTCATTGTTATAATGTTTCGAATCGGTATCCAGTTAAGGCTTAAGCTTTCGGAACAAGACATGCAATAACGGAGAGAGTATATCTATATACCGGCATCCACAATTAAGCGAGCTGCACGTTTTTGAAGTCGTGGATTAGGACTCCGATCCGTCGATATATAGAAGAAGACAACATCAGTTGATTTAAGGGTTCAGACTTTCCGGCATTCAAACATTATACCGAAGTCCGAAAGCTATATGTAATAACTGCATGCATGGTTTCGACAATTTTCCCCATATATACTATAGTTCATAGAAAGCAAAGTTTGCTTGGAAATGCAATTGAAAACCAAACAAATTATCGTGACATTTCAATTCAGCTTGAAAAGCATGCAATTTTTGTCGAATAAAAATTCATATAGCTAACTCGATCTGTCTGTATTTATCAACGAAGGTCTCATTATTCACACAGCTACAGGCCTACTGACTTTATGCATTTCTTTTAATACATATATATAGTCGATATAGACGTACAAAATTACTTAATTAAAAACAACTTTTCAATTTTATATCATGAATTATTATTACCGCTTGACATATATAATACATACCTATAACTTCGAAAAATTTAAGACCGTTTGCCTTCTTAGTTCGCATTGAATGAACAAAACACAAATTGTCGTCATCGCGAGCTCAAAGTGCGAAAAATTAAAGTCGAATAATCAAAGGTCTCTTTTATAATTACTATAGGAGACACGACAGCATATATCGTGCTATTATATTTGCCCGCGGAAATTAATCTGCAAACATTGTTCTTAATAACTGTATATTTGATTGAAGGCCTTTTGACAACTTTGCCGCTTGCGTACGGCGTTTGTGTTTAGCGGGGAATATAGGGCTTGTATAACTTGCTGTTTTTTGCAATTAAAAATTGTTGTTTTATTTGTATAATAATATATAAAGGGTCCTATTTTGGTTTAAAAACTATGGGGGTTTTAGCACTTTTTAGACAGACCTGAAAATTAAAGTGTTTAATGCTCCTCGGCACGAATTTTTCTTTAACGGCAAATGTTCCAGTCAAAAGTGCGTAAAACCGAACGGAAATGTGACCGAATTATAAGCAAATATGTGATGTATGCAACAACAAAGTATACACTAAAGCCCTGGACAAACTGTAGGCAACATTGTTGTGGAAACATTTTGTGATTCTCGATGTTTCCTCAAATGTTTCCCTATTTGCCCACCCGTGGAAACATTGTTGCCTACGTTCTTCACTATGTTCCTCACTACGTCAGTCCTCACTATGTTCCCATTCTGGGAAACATGGCGAAACATCTGCCGGGAACAATGTTTCCGCAACAATGTTTCCTATAGTTTGCCCAGGGCTTAAGATTAAATGATCTTAATATTAGATGTCTCAAATGACAGATAAGGAAGCGTGATACATATAATGATAGAATGTCAGGATTTTTTGGGCGTCTCACGTTTAAGGATGGAAATTCCGAGTACAAATGTTGTCTTCGATTCCTTAAATCGTTGCATTTTTTCACAGTTGTTCTTGGCTAGGTCTAAATAAATATTTCAAATTTGTACTGGAAATTTTCGTCTGCAAGATCCTATACAGCATTAGTTCAATCTAGTGAGATGCCCAAAAGTCCAGATATTTTATACCCACATACTTTATCTGGCATCATCTTTAAAAAAGGTTGTCCTGTGCAAACCTTAAACTCTAAAACTTAAACCTTAGATTCTAAGCGCGCAAAGCTTAATGGGAGCACAAGTTTCAAGCTTAATAATTGAATGTTGCAGCTATTTGTGAATGAATTGTTCCCGTAAGGAGATATTTACCATGTCTCTAAGAAATGGACCCCATATACGATTTCGATTCTAAACTGATTAAATGATGCTCCCATTATGCTTTGCGCGTTTGGTGTTTAAGGTTTAGAGTCAAAGGTTTGCAAAGAACAACCTTTTAAACCATATAAATTAAGGTACAACCAATCAACAAAATCCACTAGGCATCTTTATTACTAAATAGTTTCGTACCACAAGATATGGCACTCTTCAGATAAATTAGGTTAATTTATCTGAAGAGTGCCATATCTTGTGGTACGAAACTATTCAAATGAAGATGCCTAGTGGATTTTGTTGATTTGATTGTACCTTAATTCAAATAATATGCTCTGGTTTTTCATTGAGCACTTTGTCAAACATTTTATAACCAAATCAAACCGAATCGAAAAAAGGGCATTTTATATAGCTTCTAATCTTCAAAGAAGCTTGGCAGATCTGGTTATTTGTATTGATAAAATATTTTTGTGTGTTCAGATGCAAGTTGGGATAGAAAATGCACATTCATTGAAGGAATACCACCTGAGAAATTTGAAAATGCTAATGGAAGCGGGAGAAAGTTTTGCAGGTAAACAAATTAAAAATATTTCCGGGCAGGGTTTGATATTGAAACCAATGCATGGAGTTGTCTCAGAAATACATGCTACTAAAATGTAACGTCCTTAATGCAAGTTAACTTACCTTAACTGAGCATGCGTATGGATTGTAAATGTAGAGTTGTAGTGAATATTAATGAGGCGCGCTCCCATAGATGATTACAAGATGCGACCCTGTATTCCAAAAGCTCATTCACACTCAAAGAGTGGAGGTTCAATCTGAGCTTCTCCTGAGTGTCAGTGCTGTTTTGGAGGATGAATAGTCACATAGTAATGTACGAGACCAACCCTCCAGCTCATCAAAAACAGCACTGACACTCAAGGTCACAGTAGGAATTTTGCATAAGTAAATTCTAACGCCCATATTCTAAAAGCTCACTCACCCTCACACTCAATGAGTGGAGGTTCAATCTGAGCTTCTCTCGAGTGTCATTGCTGTTTTTGAATAGCTGGAGGGCTAGTGTCGTACCTTACTATGTGATTGCTCACCCTCCAGCTATTCAAAAAGTGAAAAACAGCATTGACACTCGAGAGAAGCTCAGATTGAACCTGCACTCATTGAGTGTGAGTGAGCTTTTAGAATACGGGCGTAAGTTTCAGTGAAGGATTTGTAAGAAATGTTTGAGGGATTGACTCACCGCTGTTTAACACCGAGTTAGTTCTCTCAAATATTTCTTACAAATCTTTCAAAATTTAGAATTTACCCATGTAAAATTCCTGCTGTCATCACAGAAACTTTGATAGTGTTAACCAGGGTTACGGAAAGGCCTTGAAACAGTATTGCAAGACGTAAGCATATTCAAAAGAACTTTAAACCTACAACTTGAGCATAGCAAGATAAAAAGCGCGCGAAAATTCTTGACCGAGTCCACAATGCAATTGAAAGAATGCTCAGCGATATGGTTATGTTTCTGCGCAGCTTCCAAATGACAGCACTCCAGATATTTTTGAGTTCAGAAGGCTGAACAAACATTATGGACCTACGCATATAGAATGTAACTTGTCGTTTGCATTCATTTTGAATAAAACAAAAAGTCTCATTGCCCAAATTTGCTCTGTCATAACACATTAAGGCTCATCTTATAAACAGTATGCACTTTCCATTATTCCCTACCGCTTATGACCAAAAACAGCTATAAAGTAATCTATTTTGCATTGTCCAAAACAAAGCATTAATTACGGATAGGAACAGCTATTATAAAATTGTCTATCTTGATTTGGTTAACCGTAGGTTTAACTAAATGATTCTCAAATAGTGTTTTCTGGAGCAATCGAGCTTTTTTATAAGTGGGTGGCCGGTGGCTGCATGCAAACATATTAACTAAACTGGATGCACTGAATTTTTTAAAACGTGACATCAAATAATATGTTTTTCCTACTTGGGTTCAATATACCTGCCTGTATGAAAAGGCTTTGTAATTGGTTGATTATGACCATAAAAAATAAACTATTGAAATAATATATCTGATCTAAACAATCCAGAAATCATTATTTGCCAGTTTAGTTTATTGAGTTTCTTACTTTAATAATTTTAATATCGAACTGTCTTTAAGCCTCATTTTGTATTAGAGAGTTTAAGCTTTGCGTTACACGTCAAACGGCAAACGCCAGGCAAAGAAAAATGTTACGGTATCAGGCAATAAAGAGTAAATGAACTTGTTGTTTTAAAACTGAAATACATAATTATTCTTTCGACGCAAGAAAGAAAATATGAAACGAAAACGTTCAACGAAAATTTTGCCAAGAAAGTTCGAACCTGCCGTTTGCCGTTCCCGGAAACGTGAAGCTTAAACTCCCTATTATTTCTTGGAATTAACAACGACCACAAATGCTTAAAAATAAAACAACTGTATTGTTTGCAACGTTTCGGAGTGTTACTCCATCTTTATTACCTGAAGATGGAGTAACACTCCGCGAAACGTTGTAAACAATAAAGTTGTTTTATTTTTAAGCATTTGTGGTCGTTGTTGATTCCAAGAGATTCTCACTCATTGGTGAGCAGATTTCCCAACAGGCTATTGCCCAATTAATAAGGGATCCAAGGTACCTATACGATTTCAACGTCCTTTTCCGAGAAGACGCGAATGTCTAACCATTTACTGATGTCAATGTAAAGATAGCTCTTTCTCCTCAGTTATTTTAAGACCTTGAGTAGAGGTCCGACCAAGGACTGAACCCGAGTCTCCCAGCTTGAAAGACAAGCATGGTGATAGCCTGCGAACAGGCTCTCAAGCTGAATTGAGAGCCTGCATCGATGACTAATGAATTTGAATATCTGCCCCGTAACGTTCGTTTTTCCAAATATGCAATGTCTATCCTTATAGATGTTGTTTCACAACTTTCGTGCAAACTAAATTTAGACCGTGCAAACTAAATTTAGTGAGTTTATACTGTTTTTCGAAATATAAGATATTCAAGCAAAAGTTCCAATGTTTTAAATACTGTTTTCTCAAAACAGAACATTTCGTGCTTTGAGATAAGATGGCCAAGACCAATTTGATCAGTTAATGTGTTTTTATGCATATAGTGCTTCAGCAGTTGACATATATAGAGCTCAGCGGAAACATATAAATTATAGCATCTGACCAATGAGAATTTCGCGTCATGATTTGAGACGCAGATATTCAAATTCATTAGTCATCGATGCAGGCTCTCAATTCAGCTTGAGAGCCTGTTCGCAGGCTAGCATGGTGACCACGACACCACATATGTATATATATTAAGTATTAGTCCAGTTATGTATACAAAGCCCATCACATATATTGAGATCAGGGAACTGGAACGAGAACTAACATGCAAGCTATATAGCATAAAAGCTAGAATATTAGCCTAAGGATATAATAATATAAAACATACAGTTGAAATGATCTTTTAAGGATCGGGTCATAAATACTGAGCATTTTTGCAGCAGTAAACCATGCAGTCATCAGTTTTAGTTAGTATATATAGTAGGAACGAAACGGTGGGTTTTCATTATTGGCATTTCACACGATGTTATATAGACAATAGTTACTCATTAACACTTACAATGTAATAGTAACAGCAATAAATCACTCAAATATACACCGCTATATATGTATTTTAGCTGATCTCTCAGTACAGCGCACTGATTCGTAACCTCACTTACCTAATTCAGTGCTTCCAATGATAACTGTGCTCTGTCTGTTTTGATAGAGAACTCTTTCCCGGAATGGCAACGTACGTACTTTGCTAACAATACTGTCCGATATATTTAGTCCATATTGAAAGCTTTAGCATGTTTGAAAACTGTTATCCCGACTACCGTTATCCCGACTACCGAGTGTATTAAATATCATTCAACACTCCATATATGTATTGTGGCATCTCAGAAAAGTTCTTTTAAGAATAAGTTTCAAAGCATCAGAATGGTTTAGATTTCGGAAAGGCTTAAATATGACGTGCTTGTTTTACCACACAATAATTAATGCAACATTTTTGCCCATTCATAATTGACTTGGTCAACAAATCTCGAGTTTTGTGGACATAATTTAATGACCAAGAACGCATAGCTGTCATTTTAAGTTAGTATGTGATAAAAGTGTAGAATATATAGGTGAAGTTGACGAGCGTCGTGGATAAACGTCGAGAAACGAGACTATAACACTGAACTCCATATATATTTGGAGCGAGAAATCCAGTCCAAAAAGTGAAACAGCGGCACTTTTTTGGGACACCCGCTATTTGTCATTAAAAAGCTTGGTTTAATTTAGCAGTCATGTATATGCATGTTGTTTTGTCTTGGGCTAAATTAAAAGAACCTATAACAAAGTACAAAACCACCGATTCAAACCACATGGCTAATCTCAATTGGCAAACAATATACAGGGTCTATTATTCATAAGTCACTGGAACTAAACCTCATGTATCATGATATATTAGCTATTTTGTCATCCTATATTCCAAATTCCAACAAAACTATTAAAGATTAGCTGATCGTAAGTTTTGCACACACTTTTAAAACAACCCATTGTTAAATTGGGGTATTAAAATGCTGAGAAAGGGTTTTCGAAGATAGAAAATTCGAGTGATAGCAGATGATCCCAGCTATATAGACTAAATTTTGATCTAGGCTGCAAATGCACCAGTGTGGTGCATTTTCCCGTGCGTATATACAAATTAATACAAAATTTGCAAATTTCGTAGGGCTATATTTTCCGCATTTTACAACATTTCGCAACCAAACTTCGCATGAATTTTACTAATTTTACGACGTATACTCTTTCTAGCTGTGGTGATGGATTTTGTTCTTCTTACCTTTTTTCAGAAAGCGGTATCAATTTCCCGTGCGTGATGACTGAAAAACGGCAAACTTCTCCGGGCTATATTATCCGCATTTTACAACATTTCGCAACGAAACTTCGGAATATTACTAAGTTTGTGATGCTCTTTCAAGCTGTGATGAAAGTTTTGTCTAGACTTGTCTAGATCAAAATTTTGTTCATTAGCTATAATAGGTCCATTAATTCATGCGAGCGCGCGAACCCAACGCATGTTACCATAGAATCGCGCGATGTATATTATTATTATTATTTAAAATTATTTGAAAACGGTAGCCCTTCAGCGGTAAAGAAAAACTGATTTTCAACCCTCTCCAGTCATGCAGTATATATTATAACGGCGGCGTCATTTTCAGCGCCGTAGCTAGTAGAATG